CTGAGCCGTTAGGTGTGGTCTGTGGGTGAGATTCGACCCTCCTGTATAAGATGAGTCAGTGGGGCTGAAAAGGCTGTGCAGGATGCCGTCCCTGTCAGTAGGTGGCGCTTGCTTGGAGGAACAGGCTATGCTGTTGTTTTTGTGTCCTGTTATCAGCTTTTGTTCTGGGCAGAGCTGGGTTGGGTAAGCCTGCCCTCAGGCACCACCAATGCCGTTAGCAGGGGTCAAAGTTCTGTTCTCTGCTTCCAGGAAAAGCTGTCAGGGCGGGGCTGGAATGGTCCCGCTCAGCCAGAAATTCTGCTTGTGGGGGTGGGGCTGTCTGAGACCCACAGTCTGGAGCGGCCTAGCTTCTTTCCACCCTCCCAACTCCTCAGCTACTCCTGGGCCTCTGCCAGCAGGCCAGACCACACCACAAGGCCTCCCGGATTGTGATGCGGCGGGGAGGTTCCTTGCGCAGGAACGCCACCTGGGCTGGTGTGCACGAGCTCCCTTTGGGGGGAGGGTTGCCCTCTAGGATGCTGATCTGCCCCTGGAGGGCACACACACCTCAGCAGGCTGTTCACAAATATCCCTTCTGTGCCCTGGGCAATGCTAGACCTCGGTGCGTGGGATCTGGTCTGCAGGTCCGACCTCTGGTCCCAGAGTTCAAACTGTATCCCCACAGGATTGTTCCGGTCCATTCACCCACAGGGAGCCCAAGCTGTGTCTGTGTCTCTCAGCGTCTGAGTCAGCACCGTTCTCCTGGGAACACCGGCCAGCAGAACCGGGAGGGCTGGCGGGTAGGGAGCTCACGGATCGTCTGAGTTCCCTATCATGATGTAGGCCCCAAAAGGGAAGGTCCCGTTCCCTGGAGGCCTCCGGCTGGTGGCTGTATTGTCTCTCTGGCAGCCGCGGGTAGGGTCGGTGGAGGGAAGGAGGAGGCAATATGGCGCCTGCTCGCCGCGGTTTGGGTCTGTGCACACGAGGTGCCGAGGGATTTGGGAGTCTGTGTGCCGTGTCTGCTACAGGCTCACCGTGGCTGGATGGCGGCCTCTCTGGGCTGGTGTCCGCAGGTCTCTCCACCCGCTGGGGAGCCCACCAGCAGTCCAATGCAGGGGAGGGAAAGAAGGTGATTTATCCACCTACCCTTCCCGCTGGTCTCCGGGCTGCTCCGGCGGTCTCAGCTTCCAGTTCTCCTCTGTAGCCTCCTCCCGTGGAGTCTCCCGGGGTCTTAGGTACCCCTCCTTCCGGCCCTCGTCTGCTGTATGCTCGCCTTCTTGCTTCTTTTTTTCTAATTTCTGCTAGAATCTGTCTTTTCTGCAGAGACACTCTTTCTGGCAGTGTTTCTCGTCCGCCATCTTGATCCTCCTCCCAAGATTGTTTTTCTTTATGAAACTTTTGGACGTAGAAACAGACGAGTCTACCAAAAAACAGAAAAAAATAAATCTGGATTTAGTGGCTATAAAGATGAAGGAGTTAAAAGCTAACCTGGATGGGAGCAAAGATAGAACTGAAGAACATTGTTATTATCTGTAACGTGAACATTATCCTGCCTCTCTGTGTGTGTCACCTCTCTATCGAGACATCTGTCATGTGCCTTCATATCTCCACAACACCTTTGCCTCACATGAGCAAAACTCTTGTTGAAGGAACTTACTTTTCATTCTTTTGAATATTTTAAAAGATTATTTGTCCAATCTACTGCACAATGAAAGTAAGACATAGCATTGTTTACCTTGTCTATATTTAAACAACAGTAGAATCATGAACGGGAAATAGCAAACCACAAGAAAAACGCCCACCTAAAACCAAGTCACTGTTTATAAGCTCTTTTTATATCACTTTATACAGAATTAATTTTCTATAGCTGCCACCGAAGCATACATACTGTTGCAAGTTCTACTTTTTCACAGTAATTTATATAGATTCCCCCCACATTTCTATAGTTCAAGTGGCAGTATTTATTCTGGTATGTTTTATCTCTGTATCATAAGCCTTTGCATTGGTGTTTTACTCTCAAATAAGTGTTTCTTTTAGATACATACCTGGTGCTATTTTAGTACAAGTTCTTCTCTCCTTGTCAAATGCTCTGATAAATTTCCTGATGTTTGTCTTTTACCAAATTACTCTGCAGAAAGATTGTTTTGATACTGCTGATCAAGGGCCCTAGCAATGGATACATATGTCCCAGATGGAATAACTCCTATCTATCTTTCTCAACCCTAGATTTTGTATTTTTTTTTCCTAATTCAATGTGAGTGAAGTATCTTGTAGCTGTTTTAATTTGATTCAATTTTAAAATTATAATTATAAAATTATAATTATAAATTTCAATTTTAAAATTATAATGAATGTGAATATTTTCCCATTTTTTAAAAACTGACTTATTGCTCTCATTTTGTGTGTGAATTATCTGATCCAGGGATTGGCAAACTGTGGCTCATGGGCCAAATCTGGCCAGCTGCCTGTTTTTATAAAGTTTTCCTGGAACACAGCCATACTCATTTGTTTATATATTGTCTAAGACTGCTTTTTGCACTACAGTGACAGAGTTAAGTAGTTGCAACAAAATATAAAATATTTACTTTCTGGCCCTTTTCAGAAAAAGTTATCAGACTCTAATCTCATCTCTAAGCTTACTCAGTCTTGCTCTACCACATTTTATACTCCAGTAATATCAAAGTACTTGTAATTGTATAATTCCCCTCATATCATCATACTTCATGCTTGGGTATCTTCGCCCACGTTCTCCCCTCTGTCGGGAATTTCTGATCCCCACTCTGACAGGAAGGTTCATCTTTTTAAACTCTCTCTGGGAGGTTTTCATGCTCTGAAGTATTCCTTTCCATTTAAATTCACCATGTTACCTTTTGTTAGCAGACATTGACAATCCGTGTGACAATCCAGAAAACAATGCCTGGGGAAGCAGTTTGTAAAACTATAAGGTGCTAAATTAAAAACAAACAATTTTAGGCCGGGCGCTGTGGCTCACGCCTGTAATCCTAACTCTTGGGAGGCCGAGGCGGGCGGATTGCTCAAGGTCAGGAGTTCAAAACCAGCCTGAGCAAGAGCGAGACCCCGTCTCTACTATAAATAGAAAGAAATTAATTGGCCAACTGATATATATATAAAAAAAAAAAAAATTAGCCGGGCATGGTGGCGCATGCCTGTAGTCCCAGCTACTCGGGAGGCTGAGGCAGGAGGATCGCTTGAGCCCAGGAGTTTGAGGTTGCTGTGAGCTAGGCTGACGCCACGGCACTCACTCTAGCCTGGACAACAAAGTGAGACTCTGTCTCAAAAAAAAAAAAAAACAAAAAAAAACAAAAACAATTTTAGTAATAATTCTAATAATTATTATTATTACACTTGGCAGCACCAATGGCTACCTTTGTTTCTATTTCAAACCATTTCCAGGAAGCTTCTTAGACCAGAACTCTCAGGTGGCTCTCATGGAGTAAAGGACCTTCCTTTTCTTAGAATACCTCTTTATTAAATATCATCAGTACACTGAGGTGCCTGGACTAGTTATCTCGGCAGCATCTGAGGCCAATTTGGATGAATTATATGAGTCTTATCAATTATTGAATAATCATTAAGATGATTCAAAACATCAGTCAACCAACCAAATAAGAGCACCCAACCCTCTGTATTATCCTTTTATTTGACTCCAGAGATCAAAGGTTGGAATCCTAGAGAAACAATACATACGAAATCCTGACAAAATATGTTAAGCCAAAGATCCATTCTATCCTTTGGCTTCAGGTAATTATGCAAAAATCAGACAAGGTAATACCTTAGAGAAGAGTTTATACAGAAAAAAAGGGATCTCAGCTCCAACATATATGTCCAAAATGATGCACAGAATCTTCGGGAATTCTGATTATCTTTCCAAGTGACTTCTAGAAGAACACTGCTGTGCACTGCAACATATTGTAGCTATAGTTTTTTTTTTTTTTTTTTTTTTTTTTTTATGGGTCTGCATTCCTCTCTCTGACCTCCCTATTCCTTCAGGAATTAAAAATATCTGATATTTTTAACTTAAAATAGAAAATATTATAAAATATAATATATATTAAACTCTAATACAGTATTCCGTGTGTGTTTGTGTGTGTAAGAGAATATAGTTTATTAATTTAAACAATGATCTCTGGGGGATCCGAGAAGGGGCTTAGAGATTCCCATTTGCCTTGTGAAAAGTTTAATCTATGTGTTGAAAGCCACAAGGCTAAGGTTCAGATTACACAGAGTGAAAGGCCGTTAGGAATGCTCAGAGTCCTGGAGACAAAAGCTTTTAGTTATAACTGCATTTCTGGAGAGGAGAGCGCCGGTCTCTTCACCACGTCCATTAAGGACCAACTGCTTATTTTAGTGGTGCCTTTCTCTCAGGAAGTGCAATATATAGTAAGAGCAGAAAAATAAGCAAAGGAGGAAATTTGATATTGATTTTCTTTTCTTCTGTGAAATTACATGAAAGCTCAATGGCTTGTAGCAGTACCTTAGTCAATAAGGCTCCATTTGAGACTACCTTGAAGTTCAATGTCCTCCCCATCCTTTTAAACTTCCTCCAGTGTCAGGTTCTTTTGTATTTAATTGTCTTTGGTGCTGAGATACTATGAAGCTTTTTATTCAAAACACGGCAGAGAGGATTTTGCTTATGGTAAAACGGAGATGTATTCCCAGACAACAAAAGTCTGCCCCTCCTTTTTGGTTAAAAATGAACCACACACAAAAAAATCAAATCTGAAAATCCAAGGGGAAAAAAAGGAAATAATTAAAGTGAATAGTTGGGCTATTTGTTGGAAAACAATTTTTCAGTATTAGGGTGTTGCTGGGTTTTCCTGGGTTTGAAGTGCAGAAGGAGTAAGCACACTGTTTTCTCCTGTGGGGCTGGGGCATGGTCATTTATGTAAGACTTACCATTGTGTATATGTACATTTTGGTCATGAAAATTTCTAACATTTCTTGAACACTTACTGTGTGTAGGTAGCATGCTAAGTCTTTACATGGTTTCTGTTCTGTAGGGAAGCAATAAGTCGCCTGTGTGAAGCTGTCCCTGGGGCAAATGGAGCCATTAAAAAGCGAAAGGTAAATATTGATGTGGTTTTCTTGTCTTACGTTTCCCTAACTACTGCGAAGACAGCATCACTCCAGCAAACTGGTATTAACTGAGTAGCACCTAAGTGGACACATAGGTACTACAGTAATAGGGTATTGGGGAGGGGGGGAGGGGGGCGGGTATATACATATATAACGAGTGATATGCGCACCATCTGAGGGATGGTCATGCTGGAGACTCAGACTTGTGGGGGGAGGGGGGAAGGGCATTTATTGAAACCTCAAAATCTGTACCCCCATAATATGCTGAAATAAAAAAAAAAAAAGAGTTGATAGTTCATTCCACCATATGACCCCAGGGCCAGCCTGGGCTTTATTACGTGGCGTGATAATCAGAGCTGCACTCAAAGTGGCTGCTCTTGTCCCTCAAATTTTTCTGAGTCACCTGACACTGTCTGACATTGGTGATACCTCAAGTGGCAGGTGGAGAAAGTGCCTGGACTTAAGGTCAAAAACAGTGGGCTGCCAGGCCGGGGTCTTTTCTTGCCTTTGAGCACGGCATCTCCTCTCTCTGGGACTCGGTGAAGTTAGAGAATTGAACTGGATGACCGGTTTGGTGTCTTTCAATTTCACTATTTTATGATGTATGTATTCTGCATTTTAACATTTTAGACTTTTTAGATGTCCTGGCCTATTTTCAAATGTGAACACGGACCATGGTAGAGGTGAGATAAAAAATAACACACGGAAGAGTAGTTTCCATACTGAAAGAAAGCAAACCTTGTGATGTTGGACACACTTGGATTGAAATCCTGCCTCTGCCACCTACTACCACAACACTGTGATCTTGGACAAATCACTTAACCTCTTGAATCCTTGCTTTCCTCATCTGTACAATGGGAGACAGTAGCACTTACCTTAGAGTCATGTAAGAATTAAATGAAGTGATGTCTACAAACTGCCTAACTGTGTCTTCCATATATTAGGCTTTCTACATTAATGGTAGCTAGTATTACTGCTATTAGGCTATTAATTAGCTCAGAAGGTTTGGTTGCTTTGAAAAGTGCAAAGGGAAGGCGCATAGGCTCTTAAGATAACCATACAAATCATAGAATTGTCTACTGTTTAGGAGGGAAGGGAATTTTAGAGATCTTCCGGTCCAACCCTCTCGTTTTGCCTGCTGCTAAACTGAGTCCAAGAGAAGACATTGTATTTGCTTAGAGGTCAGAGCCAGCTGTAGAAGCTGGATCTTCAGATTCCTGGCTTAGAGCTTTATTTCTGTGCCACCCTGCCTCATTTTCTGTCATCATTCTTCATCATTTTACATAGAGCTGAACCCAGTGCCACCCAGAGTGACTCAGAGGAGTCATATGGTATGGAAAACTCTGACAAATGGCCCTTGAACGCCCTATTACTGATTTCTTTGACAGAACCCATGGTTCCAAAGCAGCCTCAAGCCTCCTCCTGCTTCTCATAGTCTCTGTGAATAGTATGCTTCGACTGAATGATCCCAACAAATAGGCTCATTCATTTAAGGTTTCTCATTTCAGGAGTGGGGATTCCACACCCCAAAATAAAGCAAAACAAACCTGACTATCATATATCCAGAAAGTACACTTGTAAAGAAAAACAGAAAAATGTCCCCATTTTCATTTCTGATTTTAATAATCTGAGTCTTCTCTCTTCTTTTTCTTAGTCCATCTAACTAAAGGTTTGTTGATTTTGTTGATCTTTTTGAAGAACCAACATTTGGTTTAGTTGATTTCCTCTGTTGTTTTTCTATTCTGTATTCTTTTTTTTTTGAGACAGAGTCTCCTTCTGTCACCCTGGCTAGAGTGCAATGACATCGTCATAGCTCACAGCAACCTCAAACTCCTGGGCTCAAGTGATCCTCTTGCTTCAGCCTACTGAGTAGCTGGGGTTACAGGGTGTGCCACCATGCATGGCTAATTTTTTCTATTTTTAGTAGGGATGGGGTCTCACTATATTGCTTACTATGGTCTTGAACTCCTGAGCTCAAGCTATCCTCCTGCCTTGGTCTCCCACAAAATTACAGGCGTGAGCCACTGCAATTGGCCTATTGTCTATTTCTGTATCTCTGCTCTAAACTTTGTATTATTTCCTTCCTTCTGCTAGCTTTAGGTTTAGTTTGTTCTTTTTCTATTTCCTAGAGTTGTAAAGTTAGGTTTTTTTTTATTTCAGGTCTTTCTGATTTTTTAATATAAGGGTTTAAAGCTATAGATTTCCCTCTTAGCCCTCACTGTTTTCACTGCGTTCTGTAAGTTTTGGAATGCTGTGTTTTTTGTACCTTGTTAATCATCACAAAAAACCTAAACACAGGTCCTATTATCTGCTCCAATTTTACAAGTGAGGAAACTGGGTCCCTGAGGGGTTAACTTGCCCAGTGACCAGTCAATGTGTAGAGGGGCCAGGCCAAGCCCAACAGTCTGGCTCTGGGATGCACACTTTTAACCACAAGGCTATCTGCCTCTCCACCGAGCTCCATCCATCTCCCTCCCTCCACCTCCCCCAGGATGAGGAAGCCAAAAACTATTTAAGGCCAACTGAATATGGCCAGGATCTCCATTTGATTCCAGTAGGTCTGTGGGCTGTTGCACCATAGGCAGCTTGAAGCGCTTAGGATTTATCCATTTATGCGATATCCCATGAGTTTTGAAATCTAAAAGGTAATGAATAACCAAAAGTACTGGAAGTTTCTGAGAGACTGTGTAGTATAGAGTCAGAAGAGCCATACTGGTATGTCAGGACCCATAAATTGACCCAGCTGTGGCCAGTTAATGTCTCCCTATCATAAGAGTTTTCTCATTTGTAAAATGTGGATACTCACCTCTGTCCAGACTGCCTCCACTCTTTAGTAAAAGTTGGGAGGTATTCCATCCTCAGCCTCTTCTTTCTGTGATCTTCCCCTCCTACCCCATAGTGACCTTTTGCAAGGGCCCCCGGCCTGGGGCTTCTCCCTTCTCTTTTTCTCAAAGGAGAAATCCTGTAGGAAAATTCATTTAAGCCTGGGTGCAGTGGCTCATGCCTTGTAATCCTAGCACTCTGAGAGGCTGAGGTGGGAGGATTGTTTCGGCTCAGGAGTTTGAGACCAGCCTGAGCAAGAGCAAGACCCTGTCTCTACTAAAAATAGAAAAATTAGCTGAGTGTGGTGGCACATGCCTGTAGGCTACTTGGGAGGCTAATGCAAGAGGATCCATTTGAGCCCAGGAGTTTGAGGTTGCAGTGAGCTATGATGACACCACTGCACTCTAGCCCAGGCAACAGAGGGAGACTGTCTCAAAAAAAAAATTTTTTTTTCCATTTAAAAAGTAGTAATTATAATCACTACGGTTTGTTAGCACTTCACTGTATACTATGCATTTCCATATAATTTATTACTGAATTTGATTGTTCTAAGATCTCTAATGGCTAGAAGTGGGAGGACGGAAGTGATGTTATTGTCCCTGCTTTGTAAACAAAGACACAGAGGGCTTCTAGGAGTTTCCTAAGGTCCCTCAGCTGAATAATAGCACAGCTAGGACTTGAATCCAAGTTGCTTCATTGCCAGTCCTGTATGCTTTCCACCCTGCTGTGCTTTCTGTTCCATGGGTCATTTAAATGTTAAGTCATTCATAATAATGGGATGAATGACTCTATACAATAAATACATTTTGGGCATTTCTCACAAGTTAAGGTTATTGAGGGGACAAAATTAAGATGATTTATATGAAAGATCTTTACGATAACAAAGTGCTTTTCAACTATGAGATAGTATTATTTAATTGGCATTTAATAGTAATTCTTTAAAAACCAGCGTGGAAAGAAACTCTAGAGAAGCAAATGAGTGATTTGCTATTAAATGCAGTCACTGCGGGGAACACAAAGTCCTATAATTGTGTGGCTTGTCTTGCTAAGAGCCATGTGCAGAGCAGAGAAAGCAGACCAAAAGTCAATTTTATGACAGAGTGATACCTACAGTATTTGGGGCTCCTTAGATACACTGTTTGCACTACATTGTAGAATGTACATGGAATTAAAAATAAAACTATACATTAAAATTCAACAATGTATGTTTAACAGTTTGGTGTGGTTCCATAATGAATCAAATGAGAGTAATATAAAAGCAAAACTGTGAAAAAAAAACCAACAAATTATGTTTTCATTGATTGCCTCAAAGTATCAGTCCATATGCTGAGGAATTACTATTTTTCCATTCTCAACTGGCCCAGTTTCTAGCACAGGATTTCAAGACTTAATTCACACATCCATCACAGTATTTAAATCTCTCTGCTGGGCGCAATGGCTCATGCCTATAATCCCAGCATTTTGTGAGGCTGAGGCAGGAGGATCACTTGAGGACAGGAGTTCCAGACAGGCCTGGGCAATGTATCAAGACCCTGTCTCTATAAAAAATAGAAAAAATTAGCCTGGCATGGTAGCACATGCCTGTAGTCCCAGCTACTTGGGAGGCTGAGGCAGGAGGATCACCTGAGCCCAGGAGTTTGAGGTTGCTGTGAGCTAGGCTGATGCCACAGCACTCTAGCCTGGGTGACAGAGCGAAACTCTGATTCAAAAAACAAAAAAATTTTGGTAAGCCGTCTTTATGAATGAGTTTATGTGGAATAGGCTAACCCCTTCCTAGTAATATTTGTTGATTTTAACAACAGGGACCTTCTGAAAATAATGATTTAACCTAAAAGAGTAGCGGATGGTAGAATTTCAGCCATTGTGGTTGTCTGAAGATAAAGATTAGGCTGGTAGGGGACTTTTTTAATTCTAGGAAGGGAAAGGTGAGGGAGGAACAGGGATAGCTTCAGGGAAGGAAGTGGTTACTTTGTTGGAAAGTGTTCACCAGTCCCTTCAGTGGCATTAGATTCAGTGGATTATCAACTTTTTCTTTTCTTTATGTTTGTGTTGAAAAGGTCTTCAGAGTTCAGCTGGTCTAAATTCTTACAGGAATTTGTTTACACGAAGCAGTCCCCCATTCCCAACACTTGGGAAGGAGGAAATGTGTGGGAAAAGTTCTGAGAGCCCAAATGTTAATGTTTACTAAACAATTTCCTGCATTGTAATTTTTTAAAGCTTTTATTTGACAAAAAATCATTCCATCTCATATGATTTGTGTTAAGTAAAATAGAAGAGCATGGGCTTTGACCCATCTTTAACATTTAAAAAACATTAACATTCATTCTGTAACAAAATTCATAACATTGTTGTTTTTTTATTTTTCAAGGCTCCAGTTAAGTTCCTATCAACAGTTCTTGGCAAAAGTAATCTTCAGTTTTCGGGAATGAATATAAAACTGACCATCTCAACATGCAGCCTCATATTGATGAATCTTGACAACCAACAGGTAATATCATGGATGTCATTTACAGTATAACATATCATCTGTTTTTCTAGAGAAGTCTGGGGATAATAAAGAGAATAGAGCTTCAGAGTATGCCTACAATTTAATAAGGCACAAGAGGAAAAAATGTGCCCAAAATTTATGCATAACAATAGTTAGAACAACAGCATTACTAACCCATCACTGGGGCATTTAACGGTCTATATACTTGCCCCTAACTAATTGGCTTTGTACAAAAACCTGTGGTGCAAAGAATATAGTACATACCATTTGGCAGCTCATATCCTTGAGCCATTCATTGCTTAGTCCCACCAACCCTCTGCAAAGGAAAAGCAATTCCATTATCAGAACTAACAGACTGTGTGTTGGGCTGGGGTGCAGACGAGGGAAAAAGGGGAAAGGTGATGTTAGGGTTAATGTTCTAGCTAATTGAAATTTAAGCAGAAAACATTTTCTTTCAACTCTTGCGGTTGAGAAGCTATCTAAAATGTTTACTCTATAAACAATTTTTCCTTTCTGGATAATTTATGATACAATGATGTGCCTGAGTTTTCATTGTGAACCTCCTTTCTCAAAAAACATCATTGCAAAAAATGCAAAAGATACACAGGCATTGGGCTAAATATGTACCAAAGCTAGGCCACTGATTTGCTTTTAATTTTTTAAACTTCTTCTATCAGATTATTTTTATGTGTTATTAGAGTCTTATTTTTCTCTTTGTCTATATGTAGTGATTCAAGGTTATTTATATTTAAGATTTCATTGTATAGAATGTTGTTAGTCAAGGGCTCGTCAAAGGTTTAATGTGTACATAAATACACTAAGAGGCTTTGAGATCACGTATAGTTTGATATTCTGGCTTTGATGCTCACTAGCAAGTTACCCTACTACTGTAAGCTTCAGTTTTCCTCATCAGTGAAATGATGATTATAGTACCTATTTATAGGGTTTCTGAGAGGATGGATTTAACAGTGTCTCATTGGGCTATTTAGAGGATTAAATGAGATAATGGATATAAATCACTTAGCAAGTGCTGTTCACATGGTACCTATTATTATTTATTCAAACATTCCTTCTCAGATACCCTTTCATATACTCAGTACTTAACAGGGAAAGCATATTATAATATATAAAATTAGAAAATTTATCAGTTACATAGAAATACATGTTGTGAGGGCTGTTTTTATTTTCTAAATTCAAAAGCAGAATAAAATACATTGCTTATGCAGTAGTATAAAACACCTTAGAGGAAATGCAACATATGTAGGTTCTAGGTGAAATATTCACTCAGTTATTCAGATGCTTTGACCTTAAGACATCTCTAGATATAAAATTTAGTTTTAGTTTTCACCCTCCACCCTCGTGTATGGTACCACAGAGACTCAATGCTTTTAATTATGAGATCTCACTGAGTATAGGAGCTCTTGGATTATCTCAGAATTTTGTAAGGGAGGAAGAGTAGGCAAAGCTGGAGCCATCAGATTGGTGACAGAATCTAATGATCATTTTTTTAAATGGCCCTTTCCATGGGGTGCCTGAAGTTAATGGGAAATTTATGAAGAATAGGGTTATGGTGTATGTGGTGGGACATAGTTTATTTTCAGGCTCTCTTTCCTTTCCACTACCCTTTTTCAGGGCACAGCAATTAGCGCTGATATTACTACACACCCATAATCTTTCAGGCAGAATAGAATAGGGATGGTGGATGGCTTTCACTACCATAGCTATTAGCAATGATGTGCCTGTGAGAGTAGCCTGCATCATTTCTACACTGGTGGTAGAATGGGGTTGTATCCAGCCCACCGCTGGAGGACCAAAGTTACGATCTCACTGACCTCAGACCCAAGGATGGATTTTTAATAATTATTTTGAGCTATTGTGTAGGCCTGGGGGAAATGGCTGGGGGTGGGTGGGTGTGTGGGGAAGAGATATGCCACAGTGGAGGCTCCAACTCAAGCTTTATATGCTCCATGAGAAGGACAACTAAACAAGATGAAGGCAGCAGGGAAGAGAGGAGACCTTATGGATATAGCATGAAAAAAGGATTTATAAAAAAACTATCCCTAGAAGTTGTAAGATAAATACAAAAAAAAAAAAAATACTAATGCCTTCCCCAACCTCCACTCCCACTTAATTACTAAGATATACTTTGGATTGAAAACATAAACTGGTTCAAGTTTATGGATATATTCATAGATGACAGCATTTATCAGAACTATCAGATAGTTCACATTTATCTTTAGTCACTGAGAACATTAAGAATGTAACAACTCCTAGAAAATGTTTCATGGACCCTCAGAGGCAGAAAATAAAATAGTAAATACATGATGCTTGTTAAGTTTTTAAAATTACCATATTTTGGGGTGAGAATATACATTTGGGAAAGCATATTCCTTATTTCAAAATTCAAGCAACAGACTTTCTTGACATACTTTAATATAGTATTTTGGGGCCTTAAGCAAAACTGTTGTCAGTAGCTTTCATTCCCACTAATTCTTTACTCATTTCTACAGCTATCACCAACTCTAAAATAGTGACTGAATTCAGAAAGGTAATAGATAAAGTAAAACACGCAGAACATGGAGACATCCTTTAGTCTCCAAGAGGGAACTTCAGATATTTAGAGGCCAGACACATAATGCAAACTGTCCAGGTACAAGTAAAAACAATGGTGCAAGCCCCAGTGATAAATGGCAAATCCCACTTGGCCTCCATGTTAGAGAGACAACACTGGGGAACCTAGCAAACAGAGTATGTTCCCTAAATGTACATCAGATGCTTTTGCCATGCAGGACTATATAGGTCGAGGGCAGCCAGATCTTCCATTTTTGTAAAAAAACAATACAACAAAAGCGACAATCTGGATTTTTAGTTGCCATCTCTGTATTGAGATGTTGGTCTCTAATTTAAAAATTAAAATATTAAATAGAAGTATGAGCCACATAGATCTGTGGCCTGAAGGCAGCCAATGTGGGATATATAATCTAAGCAAATGTTTATAATATATATGGATTGAACTAAAAAACTCTCACGAATCACACTAGGTATTATTCGTAAGCCTCTTTAAATTCCCCATCCCCACTCCACATCTCCCCCTATTGCAAAATCAGTATTAGAATTTCCCTAGATTTCTTTAGTTCCTGTAAATGATACACACACATCTTCATTTAATCCTCACAATTTGTAAGATACATCCAATTATCACTATTTTCAGTTTAGAACGTGAACCAGAGAGATAGTAATTTACCCAGTAATTAATTTACCCAGTAAGTAATTTACCCAGCTACTGAGCTAATAAGTGGAACCCAAATTTGAATCAAGCAGTCTGGTTCCAGTCTGTGGTAACCATAACAATAAAAAGAAATATAACTGATTTAACACAGCTAAAAGGAATGTTAAAATGTTACGATATTCTATCTTCAGTAAGTATAAACACTAATTTCAGTTTACTGGGTATTTTTAAGATCATCAAACCATCAGAGTCAGTTGCACAGCCCAGGTTTTTCCACGATGAGGCTTCAAATGCAACAGGGAGTGATTTTTACCCCCTCCTCCCAGCTCATTCCCAGAGAGGAACAGTTACAAACAGTAACAATTACAAACCTCCCAGTTTGTAAACCTCAGATGTTTTCTAAATTTATCTTTCCTTGCATTTTTATCTGGAGATAAATGCAACTGGCCAGTTTATTGTGCACTGCATTCTCCCTTCCCCCAAGAGTAGTTATTTTCCACTGCACATGCAATTAATTATCCATGGACTCAGGGGACTGCAGCTACAAGCTATTTGAGAAAGCAATGGAAGAGGAGAGACACGGAGAGGTGGCAGGATTAAGGTATTTTAAGTGCCAACATTTTACTTCCTGTCTAGTCTTTCCCCCATCTCTCCCTCCCAACCAAGCTAGTGTTTAAGCAATTATGATCATCCTGGCTTTTTTTTACTTATCTTTTTAAAAAGATAGGTACAGTCCTGTCTTTTACAGATTCCTACTCCCTACCACCACCAAAAGACAGGATGACTGTAAAATAAAACAAGGCTCTGAGTTGTCCTGTTCCCTTCGGTGTATGTTCTTTACTGTGGTCATGGAGCAGGAGCATTTGGAATCTTTTTACTCATCATGATAAAACCTGCTGATATATGCTCATTTTATTGAGCATAGCCTTCTGATGTGATTATTACTCTCAGAACTTCAGCATCTTAATAAAATAACCACAACATGCTCATTGATAGGACAGGTTTTCCTAGATTGGCAAATTCTTACAGACAATAACTTATTAAGTTTAATTTCCAGAAATTAATTTGTAAATCAGGTATTTGAAGCTGGATCGTTTCCCTTTATAAACACTGGTTAAGTTTTAAATCATAAAATGATTGCAATACATACAATAAAAAGTAGTACATGGAGAAAGTGTATATGCAATACTATTAGCCAAACAAATTACACAGAACAAGAAATTTTATTATCTCCAATGCTGGTGCAGAACAAATAACAAGATTAATTAGAGGAGGAGACAGAGGGAAACTTCAGATACTGAGGTAAATTTCTGGGCAGGTTTAAAACTCTTAAAAGTTGACAGCATAATTGTTCATATAGTCTTCTTAGATATAGGGCCTTCCTTTTATTTGACAATTATCACTAACAGTTTTTACAATATGAAGTTCAACTAAAGTCTTTCACCTGTCAAGTTAAATGAAAAAGAGCGAGCAAAACAAAATTTCTCTAGTATACAAGGTGTTAGAAATTGTTTTCTCTGTACTTTCACATACATTTTAATATATAGATTGGAAATTTTACGGATGTCTTAATTTCTGATTTTGAAAAAGTCATGACAATGGATTTTCTCGAATTATAGATCACAGTATCTTTATAAATGATCAAGAAACATGTACAAAATTTCAGATGCTTCTGGAAACACATTTTAAGATGTAACACATGTAATACAAATTTTTGAGTTTACTCATCCTTGGGGATAATGAAGAATACTCAATTTATCTTACACTGAAAATTTAGCCTTTGCTAAGTAGTGCTTGAGTAGATCACAAGTGGAATTTTCAGTTTTCTTAACGGGCTTTCAGTCCAAACAACTTAAAGATATCGTGTGTCCTGTTCGGATATATTTTTTTCTCATTAACTAGTATCAGTGGGCTCTTGTATTGGTAGTTTGTCTTGGTCATGACTTACTCTTGCAAAACCACCTCTAACAGCGAAACAAATACATTTTCCCCAACGCAAGGAAAATCATCTGGATCGGTAACAAAGTCAAAGCCATAGGTGTTTCAGAACATTCTTGAGAACAGATTTCAGCAGTCCTAAGATGCTTTTTCTTCAATGATCCTCTTCCTTTTTCACAACTGTGCAGTCACTGTCCTATTGTCTTCTATTCTGAAAAACAAAAACTCTTTTTTCGAAGATCAAGTTTTTCACTGGCACAGGACTATTTGGAACGAACCCCAAAGATAGCGGAAAGTTGGGTCTCTCCTCAAGTAGTTTCCTCCTCTTTTAACAGCATTCAACTACTCTCTATCAATGATTTCATCACAGCCGAGTTCTTCGGTCAGACGGTTGACGACCATCAGTGAAAAAAGCTCTTCGATAAAAGCTAACTGATCGAACGGGGTCTTCTCGTAATGCATCTGAAACCCGCCATCCAGGGCTGCTTCTCTGGCTCTGGATGTTCTCAGAAACATCTTGTTGGCTTCTTCAAGGGCCGCTGATACTCTGTAGCCGGCACCACTCAGCTGCTCCTCTTCCGGATAGTCGTAGTCGTCCTCCCAGTCATCAAATTCCTCGCCCTCGTCCTCGCTCTCGAAGTCTGGGCCCGGCTGCCCCCCGGGGTTGGGCGCGTTCGCGAGGCCCCGTTTCCCCGCCGGCGCCGCCATGGGCTGGGCCGCCTCCTCCTCCATCGGGCCTTCCTCCTCGAGCTGAGGCGGGGCCCCGTTGCGGGAGGGACGCAGGGAAGGGTCTCGGCTCCCGCTGCCTACCTCCATCTGCGGAAGGTCACCCTCGCCAGGCATCACATCCATCTGCAGGTCAGTGCTCTCTTCGTACAGCTCGGACAGCTCAGCCATTGCCGACATCGTGCAAACAGCTCGAGCTCTCTCGCAAAGCGCTTTCAGCAAGACAGGAGCTACGCCGCCGCCGCCGCGCGGTTATGCGCTTGCGCGAACGCTGCGCGCTTGCGTAACCCTGCGCGCATGCGTGTCCCTCAGGCACCGCCTCCGGCTCGGCGGGCCCGTATGGCGGGAGGCGCTCGATGTTCCTCGGGGAACGTCAGCGTGGCTCGGTGGGCTGCGTTTCCATCGATTCGAACTTTAGACCTAGACACTCTTCATGCAAGAGCGTAACTTAGTCCCTGTGTTACTTAACTGTATTGCTGCTTATGGTGCTGTAAACTGGAAAATACCTTACGTGGCCTCAATAATTACGCTTAATACTCCTTCCTCTCCTTCCTCTCTTCCCTCCTCCCCTCCTCCTTCTCCTCCCGGGCAATCGCATCTGCTCCAAGGTTCCAATTAATTACCTTTTATCTATGCGCTAATGAATATCCGCAACCACAGATCAGCATATTAAGAACCAATTCATTCTACTTTTATTTTCCACATTTAAATTCACAAATAACAGGCATATTATCCTTTTTTTTTTTTTTTTTTGAGTTATAGTGAAGAAATGTTTTGTATCATTTCTTTTCCCAGGAGGTAACTTCCCATTATTATCAGTTTGGTTTGTATTCTTTAAATCTTTTTTGTTTTCATTTACATGAATCTTTATGTGCTCGTGCCAAAATACTATTTTGTGGGATTTTTAAAAACATAGTTTATGTAACTATCTTCTACTTTAAAAAGCCCCGGCAATACATATAACATATATATAATTTCATTTGTGTAAATATACTATAGTTGACCTAACAACGGACAAATAATTTCTAGTTTTTTGATACTATAAGCTATGTGTAAAGGAACAGCCGCATGGGCCAGTGTTTTTCTAGAATAAAAACCTAAAAGTGGAAAGGTGGAATTGTAGGGTATGCATACTTTAGTTTAAATAAATACTGTCAAACTGCTCTCCAAAGTTGCTATACAAATTTAAGCTCTTGCCAGAAGTTTGAGAATACCCATGCCCACACGATTTTGTTGAACTTTAATGATTTTTATCAATTTATAGTATCTTGTTTTATTTTCCATAGCTTTGATTTCTTGGAGATTGATTAATCTTTCAGTATGTTTACTGAATATTTGTATTCCTTCTGTGGATTAACTGGTCTTATTTTGGGTTTCTTTTTCTTATTGATTAGTAGGAATTCCTCATTAACTCTGTATATGAATAGTTTGTTTTTCATGTTGCGAAAATATTCTCCCTGCCTGTTGTTGTTTGCCCATTTTTAAAATTCTAGCCATTCCTTGCAGACATCTCGAATGTTTGTCCTGTTTGAGGAGTCTTACACACAAGTTTTAAAATTAGTTTTTGTGTAGTCACATTGAATTTTTTTCTGTATGTCTGTTTCTTTCTATTAAGATGGATTTTCCTACTTCAAAGATCACAGATATAATCTTTTATCTCCCTTCTAATGTTTTTTAGGTCTTTTATGAAGCAAACATTTACATAAATAATATGAGAACAGGATTTGTTTATATTTTCCATATAGTATCTACATCAGCCAACCCCACTAATTTAATCACCTGTCCTTTTTTTTGCTGCTTGGTGACGCATTTATCATAGACTGAGTCCATGAATACATGAGTCTGTTTTTAAACTTTGTATGCTTGTGAATTTCCATAGTTTTATAATGTCTTGCTATCTAGTAAGGCAAATCTTGACTTTGTTCTTTAAAAAATTACCTTAGCTCTTCTTACACATTTATTCTTCCATATGAATTGTAGAAGCATCTTGAATGTGCCTTTATAATACGTCTTACTGTCTGATAAAAGAAATTGTAACTATTCTTTTAAAAATTTCTTTAGCTCTTTTGGCACATTTATTCTTCCATATGAATTTTAGAAGCAGCTTGAAAAGTTCCACAAATGACATTGGTAACATTTTTATTGGAATTGCATGGAATTTGTAGATTAATTTAGTGGAGAATTGACATCTTTATCATACTGTTTTCTCATGCATAAAGGTGATACATTTCTTTCTACTTGTTCAGGTCTTATTTATACCCTTAATTAAAGTTTTCTGAAAACCATTACATGATTCTTATTAGTTTTACACTTAGTTATTCTTATAAAATGTACCACCCCCAATATAGTATCTAATTGACTATTGATATATGAGAATGACATTGGTCTTTGTATATTGATTTTTTTTTACTGAAATATAAGTATAGAAAAGTACACAAATAGTAAGTATGTAGCTTGGTTAATTATCACAAAATGAACATAGTTATATAATCACTACCCATATCAAAAAATACCATTTGCTGCAACCCAGAAAACCACTTACTTTCTCTTCCTGTGTCCCAGAAGTAACCACTATCCTAACTTCAAATGAAATAAAATAATTTTGTCTGTTTTTAAAATTTATATAAATTAAACCATGTTTATATGTTGTTTGTGTTTGGCTTCTTATCTCAACAAACAGGTTGTTGCTATGTAGTATGCCACTGGCTATCACAATAGTCATTATTGGGATTGTTTCCAATTTAGGACTGTTATGAACAAGGAAGTTATTATCTTTTTTGAGAATATCTTTTTGTTGCACATATTTACACAATTCTGTTGGATATACATCTAAGAGTAGAGTTGCTTGGTCATCTTATACGAGCAGTTTAGTAGACTGTCATACATTTCTGAAAAGAGGATTAGTAAGTAGGTGCATAGTGGGTGTTTTAAATGAACCTTCAAAACAGTATGACAAATGCATCTCTGGAAATTGATCATTATGCTATGGTTTCCAAAGAAGTAATCCTAGAATTTCAAGCAGAAGAAGACAGTTCACTTGACTATTCTTACTTCATATTGGAAATCTTAATGTCAGTGCATTAGTCAGGATACTTTTGGTAGAGAATGACTGAAACCAAATGAAACTACCTTATGCAAAATAAATAAATAGAAAAAATATATAAAGGGAGAGGGTGAAATGTGTTGGTTAAAGTGAGGGAATAAATGTGACCACCAGACTTTTTTTTTTTTTTTTTTCTATTTTTAGTTCTCAGCTCTGATTTTCTTCAGAGGGAAAGCTTCATATTCTAGCAGATTTTTCCCACATGGCAGCAAAAGATGGCACCAGAAGCTTTGGGCTTATATGGTCTTTAAGGGCAGAGAGAGATGCTTTTTCTCCTATTATCCATCTTAGTTCCTTCTAAAAGACTCTAACTGGCTCTGCTGTATCCAGAGAGATGGTATTTTCTAATTAGCTAAACCTGGATCATGTTTCCATCTGGGTGAGGAGAGACAGTCAGATGGGCGTGTCAATCCCACCTGAACTTCGTGGATTACATGAGATTATTATATAATGTGGATGGGGTGGTTTCCAAAGGGATGTTGAGCAGGCAAAAACAAAACAAATGTGCGTCTATTACCGTTAAACTATATATACACCTAGGAATGATAATCTATAGCGGCATACATGTTTACTTTATGTTTTTCAGATTATTGCAAATCATCATATGCAGTCTATTTCATTTGCCTCTGGAGGGGACCCTGTAAGTATAGTTCATAAAAATTCTATTTGTAAGAGTTAAAAGAACTTTCATGTAAAGAATATTAGCCACTACATGTCTTTTCCAAATGTATAATTGTAATTTGTGAATAGCTACATGTAGCAGGTAATCAAAAATTTTAGTTTGGACAAAATATTTCCTGTCACTGAATTTAAAAATATTTGGATTCGTGGATGAGCTAATAGTACTCCATGGTGTTACTAGCCATGGAGCTATCATCTGATAAGCTTCTTGTTGATAATATCTGGGTCATAGCAAGCAAGCATGTCATGCATGTGTTGCCAGTCCTCCCCCAGAACTCTTCTCAACACAGAGTTCCAAACAGACTCTACCAAGCAATTGGACTTGGTATATCAACTAAGGTGTTCAGTCTAATCTAGAATGAGCAACCAGGGTTGCAGACATTCATGGAGGAAACCCTCAACTGGGGAGAGAGAAATTCCAGTTCCTTTCTACCAAGAGACCACCTGGTGCTTATTTCCCACAAATTGTGCAGGACTTTCTCTTCAAGGCTACTTTGCAGTATGGTGTGTCATTCCTTGACTCTCTACTGCTTCATTCTTGGACTAGGGCAAAAGGAGAGGGGCACTGAAGCTCGGGAGCCTATGAGTGAGCCAAAAACAAATCTATTTAAACTGAGGGTATTTTACCCTCAGTTTTAGAAGGGCAATTTTACTCTTCTGTGACATTATGGGTGTTTGTCTTGTACCTATAAACATATGGAAGGTTACAAGAGGGCAGAGTATGACTTCCATAATGGTTAAACTTCAGTAACATCAAGGAAACATATGGGGAACATACACAGACCTTTTTCTTACCCAGAATGTATTACCTTCTTTTCTGCAAAGCATTAATAAAGATTATATTAATCATAGTAACTATATTAATAATTAAAGATTATATCCTTCAGAAATGAGGCCATAAAATTCAGTTTAACAGTTGATTTTTTTCTACCTACCACATTTAGTTCCTCACTTCTAATTGAGGAATAAAATTTGGGGTCATAAATGATAGAACACATAACCCAGAAACCCAAGAGAGGTGTGGAGGGTGGTAAAAGCTAAAACTGTCAGCTGGTATAGCTGCCAAGTTTTGATTTGTCTTGAACTCTATGCGAAATATTTAAAAGGGAAAAAAAGTAATTGTGTGTCCTAAAAGGAAATAAAGTTCTGAAGTCACTCTGTGTAATCATTGCTTCATTTACTGACATCTAAAACATTTAAGCAAGTTACTTCGCTCTGGTGTTGGTGTAAGTTTCTTGTGTGTAAAATATATAGCTAAAAGCTATTTAAATTAGCCCATTCTTAAAAATACTTCAACAATTACTTGCCTTCACATTGGCTACCAGTAACTCAAAGTATTTAAGCTTGTCAAACCAGATTTATTTATTTATTTATTTATTTATTTTTAAACTACCTTCAGAATGTCTTTGAAGCATATGGAAGAAATGCAGCCTTTAGTTTTAAATCATTGTGGGTTTTGTTTTTTTCCTTTTATTAATGGATACTCAGTTTTCCCTCAGGCTTCACTGCTTCCTTGCCTTTTAGCCTTGGGTGTAGTTATTTTCAAATGAGTATACTAGTTCCATGATGCCACTATTTAAAAGTAAACCAAATTTTAAGAGCTCCACCTTTTCCCTAAGAAAACTCCACAGATGGCTAATTATGGATTTTCTAGCAAACACGAGTACACAGGGTGTGTGGTGCTTCATAGTAGCTGCTTTGTGAGCCCAGTAGTGGATGTGGACTCCAATCCATCCAGCCTTTTGTAGTCTGGCGTCAACATCGACACCAAAGGTTGGGTAGCAGAGAGGGTCAACTGAATCCAGGCTGAAAAACGTGAGCATTGTCTCTTTACTTCCTAACCCATTATAGCTTGGTCATCCGTGGAGGAACTCAAATACTTAAGAGATTTAAAGTAGTGCTCTATAAGTGTAGTGTGAAAAATAATTATTGGTGTTTGCCATAAATTTTTCCTTTTTAAGTTTCAAGGGTTGCCATCATTTTAGGATTGGTGTGCAAACCCTCATTTACCCTATACGTGCCCTGTGTGATGATTTCTATCTTGTTTTCCAGAGTTTTAATTCTTTTCATACTGTCTTCACGTGCCTTTAGTTCTTTCAACTCACCAAAGCACTGCTCCTACCAAAACCAAACAGTAACGAATTTGTAGCCCCTGTGGGAAAGTTTGAACCTGCTGAATTGAAGGGGACCCCAGTGTTCTCTGCAGCTGGAGAGAAAGCCTATTGATTCAAATTTAAAATAGAAATCTGGAGCCACCTTATGCATCGGCATTAGAAATTGTCTCAGTGAAGTTTGACCCTCAGGTCGGGGAGGAAGTATGGTATAGTGCCAGGCCTTGGAGTCTTGAAGACTTAACTTGCGTAACAGCCCTAAGCTTCAGGGTCCTTGTATGTAAATGAGGATCCCTAAAATGAAGTGAAATGATGCATGTGAAGTGATGGCACAGTACCTGGTACATAGTCACAAGAGGTAGTAGCTATTACCACTGTCACCAACTCATCCTCATCTTGTTTTAGGATACTCACTGAGACAATTTACAGCTTCACAGCTAACTGGGTACAAAGGGTAAGAAGCTGAGTTCAAAGTTTCTCTGGCCCAACATAGCAATCTTCGTTTTACCAGATTTCCTCCAAAATTTCCAAAATAATGAGTATTCTTCCTCCCCCCCCTGGCTTTTGCTCACCCTCATCTTTACTCTCTTCTCAAAAACCATTTATGTGTCTTCCTCCTTATCAGCCCTGAAGACAGTTGTTGGTAATGCTTCTATAGCTAGATATGCTTTTTCTCTGTGTAAAAGTGCATTGTATGCCAAAAATTAAATACATTTAAACATGTTTTTCCCTGCTATTGGTGCTTTACTTTTAGCATTCTGTATATTGTCCCAAATATCTACATTTATAGAATTTTGGAACTATAAGGATGTTGGAGACTGTTCTGAAGGTGAGGAAGCAGGTGTGGAGAGGTCCTGTGGCCTCTTTCCCAACATCTGAGATGCCAGGCAGCGTGGCACCTCTGCGACTTTTAGTAAGAGTGCTAAAGTCCCTAGCAATCGTGACTTTTCTTCTAAATTAACATAAAACAAAACCCATAGATATGGCCTTATTTACTTAAAAGATATTTCAAACCTTTTTTCTTTTTGTACAAGAGAAATTTACTTAGGTGTGTGTTATTTTATTTTTTTAAATAACCCAAGATGAGTTATGCTGACCCTGAAATATGCTTCCGGTATGATTCATTGTGGGTTATTAAGATTGTCCTTGAGGGTATCACAAACATGGGCTCTTATTTCCTGCCGGTTGATTGCATCTTCCCTCTAGAGAGTCATACTTCTAATCTGCAAATGGTGTTTTGTGTGATTTTTTTTTTTCCTGCGACCTGAGATAACAGAAAGCATCTTTAATTATTAAAATCTTATCATTCATCAGCTTAATGTTTTCAATAAAGGCTGGAATTACCAAGTGGCATTTTGTTTGTTTGTTTTCACAAAGTCAGCAGCACATCTCTTTTTGAACTTAAGTTTTTCATGGGCTCTCTTTTTTTTTTTTTTAAATGGCCTTTCCTTTCTATATATTGACCAAACAAATGCCTTGTATTTTTTTTATTATTTCTAGAGTTAACTTACGCTGCACACAAGCAAGCTGATGACCACAAAAACCAACGTGTCTCTCTAGTCAACTTATTTTCTGATATACATAGTATCAGTTTGGACAGCAGGGAAATCAGAATGTCACCTCCTAGTTTATGACACCTTTGTGATTGCATAATCTCTGATATTTCAGTTTTCAACAAAGGAGAGAGTCGTAGTCCATAGCCATTTTTGAAGAATGTGGCCTAACATATTCCCTGTCTGCATTCTCTTTTTTTCTTAATGACACAGTCTGCCTCTAAATTTCTAATCTTCAATTTCTTTCCCCAAGGAGCAGAGAATGTGGAGTATACAGTGTATATTTGTTTATGTTCCCCTTTACAATGCTTTCCTTTTCTCTTTAAATAACAACATTCTTATTTAAGTCCTTGCCTCAATATCCTAAAAGCCTCATGTCCTAAGTGTACTCTTGGTATTTCAACACTACAATTCATTGGTTTTAAATGCATTTTCCCTCTTTTATAGGATACCACAGACTATGTTGCCTACGTAGCTAAAGATCCAGTTAATCAACGAGGTATGGAAAGCAACTTCTAGTTTTCAGAATTTTTTTTAAGAGCTGATATACCGACTTTAAAAAACAACACAGAGTGATTTTCAGTATAGAGAGTGATGAGTATCACTGGAGTGCTCTATTGGATTCTAGAAATGTTATGCAAATTTGAGTTGGAAATAAATAGCCCTGGTGGCAGAGCAAAGTAGAAAAAAAATATGTAGGTGGGATTTAAATCATTTGAGAGATCCACAAACCAAAAGGCTTATATATTTGTACACTTAAAATAGAAGCAGTTTTGGATACGATAGAAAAAGATGGCTGTCACGTCCCCAGTGGACAAATGAAGACCCCAAGCCAGTGAGGAATGAGGCTTGCATTGGCCTTGAGCAGTGTGTGTATGTGTGTGTGTGCATGTGTGTGTTGAACCTGTGCACTTACTGTTTAAATACCTGGAATGTCACTTTGAGTGTTTGGCTTATTTTCATCTTTTAGATTTTAGCTTAAATGTCTCTACTTCAGAGGGACCTTCTTTGACTGGTCACACCCTCTATTTCCAGTAGCAAATCCCACTCTGCTGCATCATAAAACTTTTATTTCTCTCCTCATCAACACCTATTCCACATTTTTATTATTTTATTTAGTCCTTGCACTTGTTGATGTGTTTAATGTGTCCTTTCTACTGGGCTACAAGTTCCATGAGGGAAGGAACCTGTTTCTCTTACTCACTGTTGTTCCCTCAGCACTCAACACAATAGGTAGCCATAGGTGATGCTCAAAAACTATTTTGGTGACTGACTGAGTGAATGGAAGAATGAGTAGATTGAAATTCTTGTCCCAGGATTTAGCAAGGTTGCTTAGGCAACTCATCTCCATGCTTTGGGTCATGGGCTTGAGGTTGCTTAGGTAGTTGGACCTCTCTAGACAGATGTGGTTAGCATTGCTTTTCATCCTTAACTCTGGGACATTCAGACTTCTCTTAGGGATGAGCGTTAGGTCAGTTCTCCTCCTTGACTAGAACCTATTGGTTGGTCAGCATCCTCTGCCACTCCAGGGATGGAGTTTGCCCCAGAGCATTTACTAGTGTGGGGAATGGAGTGGGATTTGGAAATTCAAAGAGCTGTAAGACACGGAGGTGGAAATGCACACAGCATGCTGGGGAGCGAATGAATAGCACACAATGTACGTGGAAGAAGGAAAAAGTCTAAAAGGCATCTAGAGGGCAGACAGAAGAGAGCTAACAAGTAGGGATTTAATCCTGTGGGTAAATGTGTGGAGAGTACTGTTCAAAAAAGCAGAGTTTAGACAGATTGATTTGGCAGCAGGATGTAGTAGATGGATTCATGGAGAAACTTAAGGCAGAAGATCCATTTGGAAGGTATTGTGATTCTCAGAAATGAAATGAGGACCAGCTGCTGGCACAGAGCCTGGCACGTAGTAGATGCTCGGTACGTGCTTGCCAAAAGAAGACGCAATAAGATGGAAGGGAAGGATGGGAGACAAATGCTATGAAGTGCTCTTAAAATTGGCTCACTGTAAACTGAATGATGATCATGGATAATGATCAAAGGGTGGGTAGGAGAGAAAGGAACTAGTGAAGGTGCAGTGGGGGTGTAGGAACAGAGCACAACAAAGGATACCAGGAAAGAGCAACTACATTTAATCCCTGCCTGGATTTCCCTGAAACATAACTGCTTGCTATTTTGGGCAAGTCCTCTGAACAACAAAGCTTTTTCTTTTAACATGAAAAGGACAGGGTGAAAGGAAGGAAAAAATTACACCAGGAAATCTAGAGGTTTAGCGACCTTGCCATCAGTCACTGAATATCTCTGAATATCATGTCAGTGTTCTTGAGTAAATGGTGGTGAGTTCAGAGATTAATGTGGTTGCCAAGAGTAATGGACAAGAAGTATCTCTGTGCTTGCAAATCTCTCCCTTTGCTAAAGTGAAACAAGAGAGGCAGAGAAAATTATGCAACACAGTCATTTTGAGAGTCCCTGTTCTGGTACCTGAGTAGTTTGTCAAAGCCATGCTTGCTTGTATGAATCCATGGGGGTGCTGTTGGGAATTTTGGGGAGGCACTCATGAGAACTGAGGTCATGAGGGGATTTGGGGGATTTGAGGGATAGAAACAGTCCAGATAGAGGTTTCAGGGTTTTTTGTTTTTCTTTAGTCATCAGCCTGTGTATAGAAAATAAGATCAATGGTAGATTCAGAAAGACTGGGTTGGAATCATGATTCTTCCACCATTTCACTGTATGACATTAGGCAGATTATTTCACATCCTGAAACCTCAGTTTCCTTGTCTTTCAAGTGGGAATAATAACATCTACTTCCTGATGGTGTTGAGGCAAATAACTGAGACAACACATGGAGAGCATAATTATCTCTCCTCTGTCATTTCATGTTTCTTTCCTCTTTAGGAAAACAGGCCTATCGGAGCAAATAGATAACTTAGAAACATAAGGTAGTTTTCTTGGATTTAAGAGTTAGTAACTCCTCGTCCCTTATTCTTCCTTTTCTTGTCCCCTTGTCCCTTCTCTTGTTTATCTTGGTTATAAAAATCTCTGTGAGAAGCCACCGTGTTCTCAACATACCCTTGGCTTGCACACCCCTCGAGTGTTAAGTCTTTCCCCCCCTCACCTGGGCCCTCAGACTCAAAGTGCCTGCAAATAGGTAATGACACAGCTTTTGAGACCAAAAATAAATTATTAATTATATCCTTATTACAAAGGGTGAGCTAATCATTGTGGAAGAAAAATAGTTTCTGGCCACCATGGGCTCATCATTTAGTGGGAGGGATAAACATAATAACCCGTAAGACGTGCACGGAGAAGGAGGGTGCCTAGGGAATAGTGCCTGGAACGTTGTAGATGCTTAGGATGTGTGGGACGAATGAATAAGGGCACAGGTGAGAGAGCAGTGTATCGACAGCTTAGAGCCATGTTTGGATGTTGTGAGTGTTGTGGAAAGGTGGGATTGCAGAGATGGGTAAGAGTAGAGGTAGGGGAGTCATGGCCAAAAAGAGAGGCCAGAAACAGATCGTGGAGGGCTTCAAATGCTGGCCAGCAGGTCACTAGGGGTCATCGAACATTTTGAGCCTTATAAAAATTATTCTGGCTTCTGCCATTCTGCTAAAGTTATAAAATGATAATTTTTTTGGCCATCGTGTCTAAAAAGTGATATTGGAAGGCAGAAAAAACAATCTGGAATTGTAGAGTGCAATTCAGAGGACATCTCATTAGTCCTGAGCAGAGGTGTTGATGTTTTAAACTACATTGGAGGACAAAGGGACAGTTGGGACCAAAGTTGTGAACTACTAGTATTTGAAGACTAGATATGAGGGTTGTTGAAGAAATAGGAATCAGATGTTCCTGAGAATTTAATGAGATATTGTATGCAATGCAAATATCTCAGTGCTTGGCTTATAGTAAGTATCTGATAAATGGTAGCTATTGCTGTTATTTTCCTGTGTGATGTGGAGTGATATTGCCACTAAAAGAACAGTAATTCTTATAAATAGGGAAAAAAACAACCCAATAGAAAAATAGGGCAAAGGAAAACAGCTACCATTTATTGCATGCTCACCATATGCCAGGCATTGTCAGGGGTACTTTGTTTGCATTATCTCATTTCATCCTCACAACAACCTAGGAGGTAGATAATATTATTCCTTTTTTATAGAAGAAAATACTGGAGTGTAGTGTGGTTTTCCTAACATTACCCAGTGAGTAAATGGGTGGACTGATTCCAGTCCTGAGGACACCTTTACAAAAGAACATTACAAAGGCACCAAGAAACATTTGAAAAACAATACAAGTTTAGCCTCGCTAGCAAAAACACACAAATTATAATTAAACAGTATATTTTATCTTCACATTTCAAACAAATTTCAAAAAATATAAAATGTAGTTTAGAATAGTAGTTACCCTTGACCACTGCTGATAAAAGCATAAATTCAAAAATTTTGGAGAGCAATTTGACAATTTGCATCACAAAAGTCTTAAAAATGTAAATGCCTTCGAACCAGCAATTTTACTTCAGAGGAAATAATTAGGACATTCGCAAAGATTAAGCAATATATTATTTATATAATAGGATGAATAAAATTAATCCAATATTCATAAATAAGAAATTATGTGAATGAATCCATAGAATGTACTACTACACAGCAATTCAAATTAGTGTGATAGAAGAATCAGTGACATCTGGAAAATCTTCGCAAAGCTATTAAGCACAAACAGCAGATTAGGAAGCACTGAGGTCTCAAGGCCACATGTGGCCCTCCAGATCCCCAAGTGCGGCTCCTTGACAGAATCCAAACTTCACAGAACAAATCCCTTTATTGAAAGGATTTGTTCTCTAAAATTTGGATTCCTTCCAAAGACTGCACTCAAGGATCCAGAAAGCCACATATGGCCCCAGGGCCACAGGTTCCCCACCCCTGGTGTATAGTATGAAGCCAGGTAATTTTGGTGGGGGGATAAATATACAGAGAGAAGATATTAGAAAGATACCTGCCAAAATGTTCATAGTGGTTACCCATGGACAGTGAGATTTTGTGTAATCTTTATTTCTTCTTGGTGCCTTTTCATTTTCTAAAATTATTACAATGAATACTTATTATAATACATTTATAAAAAGAAAAAAGTTCTAAGTCCTTGAATAAATAAAAAAAAAATAGTGAAACCAGAAAGGTAATGTTATAGAGTTACATCCAGGGGAAATGGCAGACAGGAGAAGCCCAGGGAGTGGATCTGAGAGAGAAGGGTGAGAGGGCGGCAGGCCGTGGGCCTGCAGGTGCAGGTTTGGAAAAACTGCAGCTTCTTAGCAGAACCCAGAGAGAAGAGGGCTAAGGATTTCAGGGAGTGGGAAAAGTCGAAGGAGACATTTCATGCCAGAGGAGTAGTCAGGAGCAGAGGGGGAAGTCAGGAGATGAGTATTACTTAAGGAGAAAGAGCAATTTCTCTAGGAGGAGACATCACGGATGGTCACACACTGCAAAGGAGTTAAGGGGAATGAAGGTGGGAAAACGCCATTCAGTCCAGTGGTAGCCTAGAAAGCACAATTTCTGTGAACTGGGAAAGACAGAAACCAGATTGCCGGGATGAGGGGAGTTTGGCTGTCAGGAATGGAGATGGGCGGAGGAGACCAGGCTTCAGGCTGATAATCCTGAATGTTCCCTCTGTCTCAAGGGTGCTTGCTTCACTCTCAGCAATACTGCATTCAAATCAGGGCAGTTGCCGCTTTTTCCCATCTTGGCCAGGACCCAAAAGTGGACACCTTATTTTATAAAAGGCCTTTTCTGTAGAAAATTCCAGTAAGAATGTTTTGAATTTACTTAGTGACTAATACAGCCTGGCCCCGTAATTGCTGTCAATGAGAAAATTCATATTCTCTTACTCCAAACATGTAGCAGTCCTGGAAGACTGTAAAATATTTTCTCTGAATGGAGTCTGTGAAGAGGCCCCTATTAACCCTGGACTATAGGATGTAGGAAGGCCATAGTTCTGAGTCTCTGAAGAACGTTTTTTAAAAACCCCATATACCACTGGAAAGGAATCCATTTATTTATATATTTATATTTATGTTTATAAAGCACTTGCACTACCTCCTGGTGACATTAGTTAGCTGTGGACCAACGACTGGCTTCCTCCTTTGAGCTTGTTTCTTCCCAAGGTGTGTGTGTGTGTGGGGGGGAGGGCTCCCTGCTATGATCCCACAGCACCATCTGCTGGTTGATTTGAGTACCCGAACTTACGAATTTCTAGTTTTCTAACAACAAAAGCAAAAACCAAAACACGGATCTATTAAAAACAAATATGGAATTCGTATAGAAGGACCTGTTATCCTTTAAGAATAGCTCTCATCCTCTTGTACGTGACCAACTAGTTAGGTAACCAAATGAAAGAGACAAACTAAAAAATCTCCGACTCTTTTACATTTTACTTAACGTAGTGCCTGATACCCAGGGTCTATCTGGCTATGAGGTGGAATGAAAAGAACCCAGATCTCTGTCTGATTAGAAGCAAAGCTCCGGCCTCAATGTCAAAGTTATCATATCACTGAAAATTCACACTCTTTTTTTGGAACGTGGGTCTTTTTATATACAGATACTTGTCTTCCTTCCCTCCCATTAGCTGAAGATTGGGCGATTCTTGGCCAAATTTTTGGAGATGTATCTAATATTGAGAAATGAGTATATTTATATGTGATTCAAGGTCCACCTCTATCCTGGCCCATGACTAACCTAAAAAAAGACCATTTCCACAGAGCAGCATGTCTGTGAGTGGTAACAATAGAAATATCAAAATATGTGTTTTCCTGGAAGGTGGTGAGATGGAGCAGATCATCTGCACGGGGTCAGCCTATTTGTCCAGTTTTGCTTCTTCCCTGGAGAGAGACAGGCACCACTGTTTTTTTCTTTTCTTTCTGTTTAATCTTCTCAAGCTGGGTGCCATGGCACATGCCTGTAGTCCCAGCTACTCAGGCGGCTGAGGCAGGATGATCACTTGAGGCCAGGAGTTTGAATCCAGCTTGGGCAACATAGCAAGACTCTGTAAAACAACAACAACAACAACAACAACAACAACAACAACAACAAAAACAGAAGCTAAAAAGAAAGAAATGAAAAGAAAAAGAAAGAAAGTAATATGGCAGTAACAGGGCTGTCCAAAGCAAAAGGGATTATGTTAGTAGCATCAGCCCGTGAACAAGACCAAAACCTAAAATGATTAGAATTAGAAAAGTTGAGTTAAATAAAACATTTTAGAAATGTGCTAAAAGTGGTAGAGGCTGGTTGATGAGTTTGGTTGATTCATTTATTCCTGTGTGCCCACATGCCTTAACTTGTTCAGGGTCACACAAGATGATGGCATAATTGGAACTTGAACTCAGATCTGAATTTTTCAGAGATCTTTTAAATGTCCTTATTCTTTTATCTCTCTCATTGAAAGTATGATTTAGTTTTTTTAAATTTATTTATGCATGCTTGAATCTCCTGCTTCTTTCATTATCTTCCTCATCTTTATCTCTCAACATCTCCTTGGTCCTAAGAAAAAATAAAATTATGAAAATTTTTCTATTTTGATATGACTTCTGATTTTGACTTCATTTTTAATTGGACTAGGAATTTATGAGATTAAAAACAAAAGAATTTGAGTGAATTACCTTTTCTTATACTGTAACACAACTTGTCTTGGCTCAACTGGAAGATACATCTCCAAGGGCACTTAGGATATGAGGTCTGGCCAGGAAGGAGGAAACTATTTCCACAAATGACCAAAGTAATCATTTATATTACTCAGTGGCTATAACAACGTGACCCACTGTAGGGACTCACTGCAAGTCCCACTTCAAAAGAAATCAATGACAACTTCATATGGTAGAAATATAGATACGATTAAGAGAAATCAATATTTATTCATTCAATAAATATTTTTGGAACAACCTCCATGTGTTGGTCACCATGTTAAGCTACTGTAGGGAAAAAAAATAAGGATAACATAAAGTGACTATCTAAAGATAGACCAAGCATTTTCCTTTGGTAAAAAGAATATACATTAATAGATATTCTTAGTTGGGTTTTCAAAACTAGAATAAGCACCTAAGTCTATTTCAGGATCCAAGTTGTACTTGAAAAGAACAACCTTATAAGAATGATAAATAATTCTTTTGGAGATTTGATATCTTAGCATTGTTTGATTTAATAATACTACCACACCATAACTGCACACATATGTGTACATACACACACACACACACACACACACACACATGCACACCCCTTCCAGAAGTATTCAGATATAAATCCTTTAAATAAAAGACAGATCAATTCTGGAATGGGAATATCTGAGATGAGATGGTTATCAGTGTAAGGCTAAGAAACACTGTTACAGATTCTGTTATAACTTAACTGCTATCAGCTCTACAAATTCTATCAAATGTGAGTGAATTGCCTTTTACTTTAAATAAATATGAAATTCTTTCCAAGACAATTCAAAATGTAAAATCATGCTTCCAAGTTAACACAGTTAAATCATTTCACAAAAACAGCTATCTCTCCTCTCCTCAGATATCCCTTTTAATAATGTGTTCCAATGTTGGTTTCAAAATTCTAAGACCCAAGATGCTTTCCCTGGTATTTAATCTAATTTTCCATGCACTCCCTTAAACTCATGGCCTCTTTTCTCTCCTATTCTCAGAGAATAGCCGACAATTTTTATAACATTCTTGTGTATATTAAACCATTATCGAGCTTTTCCTCATCCCTCTACTTTTCTAGCTATACAAATATACAAATGTTCTTTTTTTTTTAAATTTTTCATGAGACTTATTGCCTCTATGTTTAAGTCATACTGAGGACTCTTTCTAAGCCATCCTTATGAAATTTTGATCAATTAAATCTTCATATTGTAAGGCCATACTGTAACCAAGGCAAGAATGAGACTACAGATAGTGGGGAGATTAATTTGTAGTCCCTAAACACAAACTCCTGTTTTAGGTAGCAGCAGCAGATTTGCTAACTTATTTACTTGTGATATTCTGTCAGCTGCCTGCCACACCCCCAACTTGTTTATTTTGCATGTGAGAACTAGCCCCCTCCCAGTAACTGCTTCTCAGAGAAAGTGTCCAATCAAAACTTTAGTATCTTCTGATAATGACATCTTCACCACATCTTGATTTTGATGCTTATTGGAGATAGTTCTTCAGTGGGATTTGAAGATGGGGATTGTCACACTTATCACTCCTTTATGGTAGCAAGGACAGGGCAAAGGGGTGGCTGGAAGAGAAGGTATTCCAAAGCCCCTATCTTTACCAGAAACTCATTCCCCACTTTTGGGAGGGGGCAGTTTGGAAAGTTGTGTTTTTTCCATCTTCTGTAACATACCATGCAGAGACCTCAAACCTCATCTTCCCAGCAAAATGCTGCCCTAAACATCTCCTGCATTGAATTCATGGGCTAGCACTAAACATTAGTCACATTAGTAGCCAAGATCAGTCTACTTCTATAAAAATGTGGACCCGACATACCTGCCTTGACACCCAAAATTTATAAGTGTTTTGAGATATTTAGACATAACAGTTGAATATGTTTCTTCTCTTTGATCCTTATGAAATATGAGGTATTCTTTATACCATTTCAAAGCTAAAGAGAGTTCATAAACCTGCTCAATTATCAGTTCATGTTCTGGAAGTACATTGACTTTATATCATCTTCTCTTGCTGAGAGTTTTTACAATTTTTTTTTATGTCTTCTTGCAGCCTGTCACATACTGGAATGCCGCAATGGAATGGCCCAAGATGTCATAAGTACCATAGGGCAGGCTTTTGAACTCCGGTTTAAACAGTACTTGAAAAATCCTTCTTTGAATACTTCTTGTGAAAGGTCAGCCAAGAGTTCTATAATTATTTGACTCGCTATATACATATATTTAAAATTAATACAGCGTTTTAAAATTAATGAAATCAGTCATTTTTTTTTTCTTACAAGTAGCCACAATTTCAGCACAAAATAATAGAGACATTTTCTATTCATGCTCTAGTCATATTTATTCAGATATTTCCTCTTGCTTTGGAACAAGATTAAAGGAGACGAGAAAAGAAGGGGACCAGCCCTGTTTCTCCAGTATTTTGCAGAGCTATGAATTAATTGTTTTAATCACAATATAATAAGCATCAACACATTTCTCAGATTTGTTTCAGCTCCAGATCCCTTGCATATCAGTAAGAGAGAAAAAAAAAATCAAGAACAAAGAGTGAAATAATAAAATTCAAATGTCTATGGCTGGAACTTCTGTTAGTTTGCTGGTTTGCAATGTAAATAGATTGCCTCCAGCTAAACTGTGGCCAGGGTAGAACAGGCCGTGCCCCAAGGATCTGGCTGTTGACTGAGGCACAGAAAGTGTGCAGTGAGAGCTAAACCTTGCTCAGGCCTGTGAGGCTGCACCATGTGTGGAATGCAGTGATGCCTCTGGATTGCATGGTTCATGCCTGAGGAACGAAAACTCTTGAGCACTTTAGAATGCATTTTCCCTTAACATGTCACTTTGTGTATCAACAAACACTGGCTTTGGAGAGCGTCTTTTATGAGGTGGTCGAGGATAGCAAAGGAGAAGGGGTTATCAGAAGCCTCTGATGCTGAATTTTTCCCAGGATAGCACTTACATCTCAGTGCATTTTGTTGACATGTAAGGAACCCGACAAAACTGTGTGGGTCGTCAATGGAATCAGCTCAGTCCACAAAGACTTGATTTATTCTATTTTTGTAAGAAACTTTTACTAATTCCAATTTAGAAGAAAAGTCTGTTTGTTTCCCCTGTTTCAATTTAAAAAAAAAAACAATTTCATGTTTACATAAATCTACCCACTTGCCACATACGGTTCTAATATTCCTTTATTAATGCCATATACTCCTTCAGATTTGTGCAGACAAGATAGCTGGCTATTGCTCTCTTATTTTTTTCATCTTGGTTTAATAAACTGGGCCAGGCCTCTACCCAAAGAATGATATCTAAATTTTCTCTGAGCAAAACATTTCCAAAATGGAACAATCAAAAGCATGCTGGAGATACCCAGGAATATTTTGTATTTTTAGGATCTAATGCCTTTTACTTGTTCATTTATGAATATGATTATGATTATTTATCACTGGGGGAAAACACAAAAGCATCACCCTTGGCACTTTCGTTGGCTTACCCCGCTTTGTCTACAGAAAGATAAACAACTCAGCCATCTGGTTGCTTCCATCCAGATGTTTGACATCACAATCACAGCTGTAAACCTAAAACATGCATGCGAATGATTTGCTTGGTCTGGTCCATTTGCATCCCCCACTGCATCTAAATTCCTGCCCAACCTCTTGTGGGGGGGTGTTCTTTTCTCCCCTTACAGTGAGGAGGTGCATATTGATGGCCACACTGAGGAGAGAGAAGATCATGAGTATTACAATGAAATTCCAGGGAAGCAGCCACCTGCAGGTGGTGTTTCAGATGTGCGGATCAAAGTTCAGGCCACAGAAAAAATGTCTTACTGCCCCATACGTTGTGAAAAGTTGTGCTATTTGGTAAGTGATATTTTATTGTTATTGGAACCAGGAATGCAATTCTGCCTTTATCACTAGAGCGCTCAATTTGAGCATTTCCAAATGTTAGTTTAGAAAAAGTCCCATCTTCCTCAAATTTAGGGCCAGAGAGTGAATCATTGTCGGAGTCTGTACTAGATCATTTTTACTCCTAATCCTCCAATCACAACCTCAGCAGATGACCTCATATCTCACTTCATTGGGAAGACTAGGGCAATCCAACATGTTATCCTCAACTTCACCCTTTCCCCTCTCCAAGTCTTCCTATGTTCTCCTTGCTTCTCTTCCTTAGCAACTGTCTCCAAAACTATTTTTCTGTGCTGCTGATTCAGTCCCCTCCTGCCAGCTCTGTGCCCTTGTGCTGTCCATTAACCTCTGTATCAGTCTTTATTCTCTATCAGTTCTTTTCCTTCTGCATGCAAATAAACTTGGACTCCCCTAACCTAACTATAATAATAATGTCCCGCCTCCTTCTCACCTTCCTTTCTCCCACAAACTTCTAGAAAGCATTGTCTCTATCTTTGCTTTAACATCTGCTCTGTGCTTGTAAGATCTGGACTCTACTTGACAACTTGATAGAATTACTTTTACAATGGTCACTGATGGTTTAATTGCTAAATCTATTTCCTTCCTCAATATTCTGCATCTGTCTACAGCATTTGATACCTATTGGGTGTCTCTTCTTTTTTGACACCTCTTCTGTTACCTTTGAAAACATTTCCATCTTATTTTCTTTCTGTATCTCTCTTGTTGCTTTTCTTTTTATATATATATATTTTTTCCAACACTTTATTATGAATATTTTCAAACATACAGAATTATATGTTGAAAGAATTATAGAGTGAACACTCACATACATCTAGATTCCATAATTAACATTTTACTGTATTAGCTGATTACCATTCATAGATCCATCATATTTTTGATATGTTTTAAAGAAAGTTGCATCTTTTCTTTTTATGTCATACTTTCTTCTGTCTCCTCCCCTGAAAACCCAAGCCCCACCTTACGACCATATAAGCACTCCCCAAGGCTCTGATCTTGGCCCTTATCTTTTCTCTGACATGCTCCCTGTGTACAAACTTCCTCCACCTTCTCTGTCTTCAGCCCTTATCTTTCTCTGCAGTTGTAATGCCACGTTGCCTTACATTGCTTATTTATATCAAGGTTGAATTCAGCATTGTCTCCCTGACTCCAAACTTGATTCTTCTACATGTTTATTAAAGGCACTGCCACCCTGCCACAATCTTTTGTTTGTTTATTTTCTTCACACTTTGGGCCCCATATCTACCCAGTCTTTAAGAGCTAGGATTCTATCATGAAAATATCCTTTGAATGCACCCCAGATTTTTCCATTTCAGCTGCACCTTTCTAAGTTCTGGTCTTCACTTGCCTAGATGATCGTGAAAGCTCCTTTCTTGTCCTCAATCTCATGTTTTCAAGCCCGCCTGCACAGCACTGCCAGGTTAATCTTCCTGAAGGCACTGCCCTTCTCAAAGGCATCAGTGAATCCCCTTTCCATTGCCCCAAAAAGCTATATATATAGGGTTGACCGAAGCCCTTTGATTGGATGAGATTTTTATGGATGAGAAGTGAGTCTGGCCCAAATCCCAGTAGAGTAGGGCTCCAATCTGCCAATTCAAAGTAGGGAGAGGTTGGTTGGCTACTTGGCCAGTGTTTATGCTAATGTCCCGAAAATTACTTTCTGGCTGAGACTTGGATTGAGTCCTGGAATGTGACCTCCCAAAGCAGAAGCACTAACCCTCAGGACCCAGGACATTGGCAGCCTTTAGGAGCCCCCAGCCCAATCAGACCAACCTCTGCAGCTCCAGAGCAGTGAACTATGAAAAATGTATACTCTTCTCACCCCAAATCTCAGTTTCCTTTTCTTACCTATCAGACATTTCCTGTGTCCGAAAGTGAAGTCGTCTGCTATATTCTTCTGGGAATATTATTAGTGCTCTTTAAAAAACTTTATTAATATGTACTACGTTGGTGAATGTTTTACCATTTGTTTTTTGTACAGCCTGGAAACTCCAAGTGCAGCAGTGTATACGAGAACTGTTTAGAACAAAGCAAGGCAATAGGTAGGTACAATACCCTTCCCCATCTGCCACTCTTGTTTTTCCTTTTAAGTCTTATGGGCATGTGTGGCACTTGTTCTTACAAAAAAAAGTCGCCTATGTATAACTAAACACATAATCCTTTAGCTGCAGGCTTCCCAGAGAGGCCCAGAATGTCCCATGTGTGTCACTAGGGAGGCTCAGGGTTCTCCTTTTCTCTGTGTGATCCACTAATGCTGATGGTTTTGCTTTTGAGGGTCTTTTACTGCTTTGACGTCATGAAAGCTCTCTTGCTTTCTCTGCTCAACCCTCAAGGGAGTTTGACTTCAAAGAAGATCAAACAGTAAACTAATGTGAAAATTTATGCCTGTCAACTCCGTTAAGATTAAAATAAAACCTTTATTCCAGCTTGGCTAAGGGAACAGGAGAATACCTGCAATACGAGAGTCTCAATTAGGAGCCTTTTCACTCGTACCTGCCAGGGTATTAAATGTTTTATTACTGCATGTAATCATTGATGTTAGGCAAAACTTTTCCACAATGCAATTGTAGTACATCAATTATCAGATTGGAAATATATTTTAATAGAAACAAGTTATGCTGCCAGTTAGTCATTTCATTCTTACGAGTTGTTGAAAGTATTTATTTCTTTGGGGAAAGAAAGTTGTGCAGCTTTGGAGGGGGAGGTGACTGAACAGTATAAATAATGGAGAATAGAGTTGGATAACCATATTTAAAGACTCAAATTAAATTAGTACGAACTTGCCATCTACAAGGCAGTCACTTCCAAGGATACGTCTATGTTTCTTATGGAATTATTCCAATGTAATCTATTAATTTTATTATTTTTTATATACTGGGGGATACATAAATGAGGATTTATAGTTTCTAGTATAGCTATGATTACCATCCTCCTCCACCCTGTAAAAAGGAGTAGTGAGCTAAGGTAGTATTTTAAATTCTTCAAAAACATGGCTTCTTGTGATAGAAATTAAAATTCCATGCCATTCTTTAAAGTTATTTAAAATCTCTAACTAATTCTTAATAATGTGACTAAACAAATTAAATTAATGGTAAGTATGACTCTCTTTTTAAAATAACACTCTCTAGGAGTTATAATTCCTCCTTGTCTCCTTTCCATCACCCTGGAAATTCCTAACCTAAGGATTAGCAGTCAGGAACATGCCCTGTGTAGTATCGTAACCATTTTCTCCCTCTGCTGAAGTTCACTTGGAAGTACCTCTATGTCCTGTTTTATCTCATTCATATATTCTTCATTTATTCAACAGTTCCCTCAATGGCTACTGAGAACTTCCCATAGGTCAGGCACTATGCTAGGTGCTAGGGATAGAGATGCAACTGGCAGTCATTTAATTTGCAATTTAACCAGGAAGATGCACCTTAAAGAAATGCTTACAAATGTGATGAGTGTTTCAAAGTCCAAGATGTTATGGGAACAAACAATAGGGAAACCCAACTTAATCTGGGGGGCTATAGAGGCTTTCTTTAAGGAAGTGACACCCAAACCAAGATCTGATGGATGGGTGGGGATTATCCAGATGCAAAGAGAGAGGAAGAGAGGGAAAAGGAGAGAGAGAGAGAGAGAGAGAGAGAGAGAGAGAGAGAGAATAAATGAGCACCAGAAGTAAATGTGCCAAGAGCAGTTCCCAAGTCATTGGCACAGAGAGAGTATGGGGGAAAGAGTGAAAGGGGAGTCTTGAACCTGTGACAGAGTGCTGAGGAGCTCCAGAATTTTTATCCTTGCCCAAATACCTCCCTTCCCAGCTTGTTTCCCTCCTTTCTGTTAAATAGTCACCATATTCACATCCTTCTATCCTCAGTCAGCCAGCTTCTTCTTCTTCTTCTTTTTTTTTTTTTGAGACAGAGTCTCACTCTGTTGCCCAGGCTAGAGTGAGTGCCGTGGTGTCAGCCTAGCTCACAGCAACCTCAAACTCCTGGGCTCAAGCAATCCTACTGCCTCAGCCTCCTGAGTAGCTGGGACTACAGGCATGTGCCACCATGCCTGGCTAATTTTTTTTCTATATATTTTTAGTTGCCCAGCTAATTTTTTTCGATTTTTCGTAGAGACGGGGTCTCGCTCTTGCTCAGGGTGGTTTCAAAATTCCTGAGCTCCAACAATCTACCCAGGACAGCCTCCTAGATTACTAGGATTACAGGCATGAGTCACCCAGCTTCTGAAGGGAGCTCACTGACTGAAAATTCTCGACATTTCTAGAATTATGCTGAATGGGCTAAATGATAATACTACCCCTGGAGAAAAGAGCATGGTTTCCTTTCTTTTTTTTTTTTTTTTTTTCAGAACCCTCAACTTGATTTTTAAAATATTTTTTAAAACATAAATTTATGAAGGAATTGGTGGATATATGGTGATATCATTTCACCCTTATTCAAGATTTTTCTTTTTTGTAAGTGTAGTCTTGTGACAGAATTCAGTTTATTGTTTCTGATTATCTTGGTTTTATTTCTTCTTGAAATCAACACACAATGTAATCCTTTATTCTTACGTGGTGTATATATATATACCCTAAGTCACTATAAACAGATCCAAACATATGAACATACTTTGTAATAAAAGTTTGAGGCCTGGGATATATTTTTTATAGAATTAGTTTTAGCCATAATGGTTAACTCTGTACAGTACAGAGTACTTCATGCCGTCGGGTAGTGAAATGATGGTGCATTCGGTAACTATTTGTTAATGTCTGTTATGTGCCAGGCATGTGCAGGGGTTGCAGTTGTGAGCAAGGCAGACAGATCCCTGCCTTGGTGGAATATGTAGTCTACATATTAAACAAATAATAACATAAATGATAGAATTACTGTTGTGATATGGGCTTCGAAGGTTAAGTGCAATCTGCTAGGAAAGCAGAGACACCTAATCCATTCTGGAAGCTCAGGGAAGGCCCTCCTGAAGAAAGAGATGTTTAAACTGACATCTGAAGGATGAGAGTGGGGGAGAAGGGGAGGGAAGAGCATGTCAATCAGAGGAGACAGCTTGTGGTGGTGATCATACCGCAAGAAGGCCAATGTGGTCCTAGGAAGAGACTGAGGAGGAGAGAGGTGGAAGGGAGGTAGACAGAGCAGGGCCTGCAGCTTGTTGTAGAGTGCGGGAAAAAATGGAAAGGTTTTTAAATCTCTGAGAAATATGATTAGATTTGCAGTTTTAAAAAGATCATTTTGGCCGGGCGAGGTGGTTCACGCCTGTAATCCCAGCACTCTGGGAGGCCAAAGCTGGTGGATTGTTTGAGCTCAGGAGTTCGAGACCAGCCTGAGCAAGAGCGAGACCCTGTGTCTACTAAAAATAGAAATAAATTAGCTGGACAACTAAAAATATATAGAAAAAGTTAGCCGCATGCCTGTATTGGCGCATGCCTGTAGTCCCAGCTACTCGGGAAGCTGAGGCAGTAGGATTGCTTGAGCCCAGGAGTTTGAGGTTGCTGTGAGCTAGGCTGATGCCATGACACTCTAGCCTGGGCAACAGAGCGAGGCTCTGTCTCAAAAAAGAAAAAATCATTTTGGCTAAATATGTAGAATAAAATGAATGGAGAGAGAACAGATTAAGAGAGGAGGAGGAGATAACCTGAGGGTTGAGGTCTGCCCATCGAATAACAGAATTAAACATCTGCAATTGGTGCAAGGCTGAACTTGGCAAGAGAAAACTTTGGGCATAGAGAGAAGCCAGACTTTCCACTCTCAAGAATTTTATTTTATTCATTTATTCATTCATTTATCTCTAAATGAATTTAATCCACAGGAAGTAAGACTTTTAAATTAATCAATTTTTTTTGAAAAGGAGTTTAATAATATAGTAGGTATTCAAGTTCAAAATGATATGTGTGTTTTCCTGATTCCTGGCTACCCCCATGAGCAGCGTTGTGTGTGGGTTCCTGCTGTTCGTGGAGACAATCGGATTTTTCCTTCCTTGGCCATTCTTCTTTTGGATGTTCCTGCTTTTCCTGTCTACTGTTGATGCAGTGGGTTAGCTGAAGGAGGGGGCAGAGAGGGGACAGGAGCTCAATGAGATGGTGGCTTTCCCTCAAAGACTGATGCTTACCTTTTTTTAAATTTTGATTTTTTATTTCAGAGTATTATAGGGGTACAAATGCTTTGGTTACATAAATTGCCTTTGCACTGCCCAACAAGCTTGCCCATCCCCCAGACAGTGCACACCACATCCATAGGTGTGGATTTACCCATCCCCTCCTCCCCCTCCCACCTGCCTGACACCCTGTGAATGTTACTTCCCACATGTGCACATTAGTGTTGATCAGTTAGTACCAATTTAATGGTGAGTACATGTAGTGTTTGTTTTTCCATTCTTGTGATACTTAGGAGAATGGGCTCCGGCTCCATCCAGGGTGATACAATACATAGTTCATCCTTTTTTTAGTGGCTGAGTAGTACTCCACGGTATACATATACCACATTTTATTAATCCATTCATGTATTGATGAGCACTTGAGGTGTTCCCACATCTTTGCAATTGTGAATTGTACTGTTATAAACATTTGAGTGCAGAGTCCTTTTTTATAGAATGTCTTTTTTTCCCTTTGGATACATACCCTGTCATGGGATTGCTGGATCAAATGGCAGTTCTACTTTTAGTTATTAGAGCTCATCTTGATTTTATAAGTCAAACCTGACGGTTAATAGTCAATTCTTGTATGGAGTAGGAGTGGCTTTTAGCTACCTATCCATTTTAGACTCCAGCGTGATTGTACTTAATGTTTACAAAGCAAAAACATAATGCACTGATCACTACTAATCACTGCAGGTAACGCCCATGAGAGAGGGGTGCCGTCCCAGCGAGACGCCTCGTCAATGAAGCACACGTGTCGAGTGGATCTCTTTGACGACCCCTGCTACATTAATACGCAGGCTCTTCAAAGTACACTGGGCTCTGCTCGAAATCAAGGCTCAGCGGGGAGCCCGTGGCACTGTGGAAGTAAGTAGCTACTCACTGTGTACATTAGTTTCCCAGGGCTGTTGTAACATAAGACCACAAACTGGGAGTCTTACATGAACAACAGGAATGTATTCTCTCACGGTTTTGGGGGCCAGAAATCTAAACTCAAGGCGTCGGCGGGGTTGGCTCCTTCTGGGGGCCCTGGGGGAGAACCCATTCATGTGTCTCTCCTGGCTTCTGGTGGCTGCCGGCAATTCTTGCTGTTCCCTGGCTTGTAGACGCAGCACTCCAATCTCTGCGTCAGTCTCACGTCGCCTTCCCGATGCTGTGTCCCTGTGTCTCAAGTCTCCCTCTCCTCGCCCTTATAGGACAATGGTCACTGGATTTAGGGGGAGATGAGATGGCTGGATCCTTAATTTTAATTATATCTGCAAAGTCCCTTTTGCCAAATTAGGTCACCTTCACAGGTGCTAGAGATCGGGACTTGAGCTTATCTTTCTGGGGGCCATTATTTAACTCATTATACTACCTCTCATTGCAAAGAAGACTATTTACTGGCCTCATTTTCAGAGAGTTAGAAGTTTTCTTTCTTTTCATCGATCCCTCACCATAGTTAATACAGATTAGAGATGTGGAGATGTTTTGGGTTTCAAGGTTTGGGGCCATGCTGGTTTTGAATAATGCTTTCAAATACTTTATATTAACTCCCGACTTTTTTTTTCCTGCTATGTACTTTGCTGAAGGAAGGGCTGGCAAAGCCAGGAGATAATTTTGTTTATTGGCACAAGTAACAATGCAACTATTTCTGTTTCTAAACTAACTATTTCTGTTCTGTTTAGTGATGGCATTAATTTTATTCATTTCAAAACTCGTTAATAAGTCACCTATGAAGCACTAAAATAAAATGGCTCCTTTCTTCATCCATATACCGTGGGTAAAATACAATAAGACAGACATTATTTTGATGCCAAATTGCTTCCAGGGGCAAATGCATGAACAGGAACATAAATAAATAGAAGCAAAACAAGCCAAAAAAAGTCTGAAAAAAGAGGTTAAAAAATAAATAAACAACAAAAAAAATGCTTTTCAAAAGATACTGAAGCTTGTTGGGTTCAGAGGTTGGCTTGGTGTCAAATCTGGTTTGCTCCAAAGATGGAGAACCAGTCACTGAGAAAGTCCTTTCACTGGCCCAGGAAGTTTCTACAGAACTGCCAAAGGCAACCTTCTAGCTAGTGTGGCTACAATGGTGAGAAGAAATTTAAAAGGAGATTTTGCTTAGCCTGGGCTTCACTGGACTACCTTACCTATCTAGATCAGGGGTCCTCAAACTTTTTAAACAGGGGGGTCCAGTTCACTGTCCCTCAGACCATTGGAGGGCCGGGTTATAGTTTAAAAAAAACTATAAACAAATTCCTATGAACACTGCACATATCTCATTTTGAAGTAAAAAAAAACAAACGGGCAAAAACACCCGAACGTGGCCCGAGGGCCGTAGTTTGAGGACGCCTGCTCTGGATTAAGAAACAAAGGTCCTCGTTGTAAGCCAATGGCAAGTGGTCCATCTTTTTGCAGACTTTCTAGATCACTCTTGGCACCCAAATCATCCAAGTTGGGTTCCCTGGAAACAGACACTAAGATGGAGCTTTGGCATGCAGCGTCTGTATCGGACAGATAATCAGGAAGCAAGTGGGGGGAAGTAGGATTGCACAGAGAGGGAGGTGGGACTACAGGGCAGGCCCAACAGAGCCTCAGCCAGTCCCACTTACAGCCTCTCTATCCCCGCTTGCCTATCGCTGTCTTTGGGTGTGGGCCACACTAGGGAGGACAAGCCCTTGGGAAACTGAGGCAGAGCCTGGAGGGCTGGTCAGCTGGAGGCTGACGGCTGAACCTGGAGAAACTGGTCCTTCCTAGATGGGGGATCTGGGCAGTGCACGTCTGTGTCTACCTCGGAGAAAATCTTGTGCAATGGACAATGGGATATGAAATGAATTCAGATTCAACTGTTCAACCAATACGCTTACCCCACCGTTCAATGTGCAGTATCCTATGTGGACAGGTAACATTTGTTACAGGGATAGCTTTTGGAAAAAAACGAGTCTCTGGACCCTACCTTTTAAAAGTAACTTTGTAAGATTTACACTTGATACTTTTCATTTCTTGGACCTTTCAGAACCACAACACATTATTAGAAACCTTGTTTAGTGGGTGGCCCAAATTAGATGATCGTTGGTATTACGTGTTATTTGATTTACAAGTCCAGTTCCTTTATAATCAAGACTTCAGTGTTAAAAGTATTTATAATGCAAGCAAAGAAGCTTTACCTTTTGCCATAGACAATTCATTAATATGAAAAAGGCAAAATTAATCCGTAACAAAATTCCTATCATTAGATGAAAATAAATAAGGCCTGCCTTGTCCACAATTATAATGTCAAAATGTATTTTATCTGAATCCAGCCTTCTTTTTTCACCATCTTTCCTCTTCATGCTTTGGTGGCAACATTAATAATTTAGGCCTCTTGTACTCTCTCTATATATATATCTATTTCCTACTGGGATTTCATGTACCATACCCTCCTGCACGTCTTGCTGCCCCTTTGGGGTTAAGTTCAGCCTGCCATTGCTCCCTCTAAGAAAATTAAACCCAACTCCAAAAGCATAAATAATGTTGATTTAAGAAAATGTATCAAAGGGATGGAGCAGGGATAATTTTACATATACTTCTAAAATAAAATATCTTAAATGTACCTTTGACCTTTCCCTCCAGTGGTTCCTCCTGTTTCCTTCCTTCCTCCCGCAAAATCCTCGTTAGCCTCTTTAGGCATACTTAGCCTCCCTTATCCAGACAAAACCTTGCTGATCAGCTCAGCATAACCAAACCAAACCCAACAAAAAGCAAATCCAGAGTTACTAACCTAGTATCTCTCAAGCATGCCCTGGGGCTTCTCAAGTCATCCTGTCTCAGTGCCAGCACAAGAAAAGCCTGACACAGTCTTTATTCTTATCAGACATGGCAGAAGAAATTCAATAGTTCTGGTACTATCTAATTTTTTATTGATTTATTATTAGTTTCAGTCTTAGCTACCATAACAAATAAACTCTCCAAAATACTGTGGTTTTAAAAAAGGACGGAAGTTTATTTCTTTTACATAGTGGCTCAAAGATTGGTGGCATAAGGCAGCTTTGTCATTCTCCACATCTAGCTTCCACCGTTGGTCCAGTGTGGTTGCGTGGGCTCTCACCACATCTGTATTCAGCCAGTGGGAAAAGAGAAAGGCAAGAGGAGGGCATACATTTATCCCTTTGAAGGAGATGGCTCAGAAGTGGCAGACATCATTTGCCACCTACCAGTGGCAAAACTTATACAGGTTGCCATACCTCACTGCACGGGAGGCTAGAAGAGTTTTTCTAGCTCATGCCCAGCTAAAGCTTAGAAGTTCTAGAATGCAATGAAAGGGAGTACAGATATTAATAGGCAACTGTTTCTACCATAGAACACCTTGCTGCCACTCAAATATTCATCAGCTCTTCTTTTTACATAGAGCATATTTGCCCTCTCCCCAAGAGAGACACTGTAGATACCCCATATGGTGACAGTACCCAAGATTAGGTGGGGATCCTTATTATCTGCCCAGTTGTCTGCCACCCTCCACACCCAAAATGAGTGGTGGAACAGGAATAAGGTACTGACAGTAAACACTCACATGCACAGAGGGAAAGAGTGCAACAAACAGCATGCGACGGGTCCACGTGATAACCAGGTCCTGCCCAGCAGTAACTGTGAAGACTCCCTGAGCTGTAAGTGGAGCAGGTGGTTTGCTTGGAACCCAGTTTGGCTTTATGAGAGGAATCCACTGTCATCTGTGGGCCCAGACTGTGCCATCTGGGTTGTTCCTACCGCTATCCTCCCTGTGCACACTTAAAATAAATGTCGGAGAATGCACCTTTCTTGGGTATGCCACCACTTTTACAGCCTATTTCCACATGGTGTAGATTTGAGAGGTTAGAGTTTGCTGCAGAGGCCAAAAGGGATTGCGATTTCTTTGGCAAAATAATTTTTTCAAAAACTTAGTAGGATTCTACTTTATTCACTCAGAGTGAGTTCCACGTGAAGTTTTCCACAATATGCCTTTATTGTCCTTTTATAGCCAGAAGGATCTGTAGTGATAATTTTTCTTTCTTTCCTGTTACTGATAATTATCTTTTTTAAAATTTTATCAGCCCTGTTTTAGGTTTATTAATTTTACTGAACTTTCCAAAGTACCCAGATTTTGGTTTAATTGTTTTTCTCGCTCTCTCTCTCTCTCTCTCTCTCTTTTTTTTTTTTTTTAGAGATGAGGTCTCACTATGTTGCCCAGGCTGGTTTCAAACTCATGTGAGTGGTGTAAATGAATCAGCAATATGTAGTAAACAAGTTGTTTTTAACAGAATCCCACATAAAACAAGGTTATATATTGATTGATGAAAATGTTGTGAGAGTTGAGGCTTATAAAAACCTAACCTTGTATATCCCCTGTGAGCAATGGTTCAGTTTTCACTAACTCATTATTGGCAGCAACTTTATGAAACACAAGGACTGTGAATAAGAAGAACTGATGGTATTTACAGTTCTCTTGAAAATAGGAGGTGGAGTCATGGTAACATGTTACAGGGAGAAAAGGTGGGGCTCCAGAAAACTGAGAACTGTTCCCCAACCCTGATGCTCTTCTCACAAGTCTAGATCCTTCTGATTGTGTCCTTAGTTATGTGGCTATCCTGACTTTTGTATATGTCTTATCCTAAAAACAGGTTTTTTTAATTCCAAAAAATAATACAGATGCTCACAGAAGACATTCAGATAAAAAAAAAGAATGGTATAAAATGAAAAGAACAAAGGTCCCATTGCATGTTCTAATATTATATATCCAACTATCTAGATATTAATAGTTTCTTTCGATTACTTCCATAATGGTAATGCATAGTTAAGTATCTCTCTACTTTATCTATTTATCTATACCATCTTCAAAAATTAAATGAAAGTTATAATAATCACCCCCTCCCCTTTTTTTTTTGAGACAGAGTCTCACTCTGTTGCCTGGGCTAGAGTGCCATGGCATCAGCCTAGCTAACAGGAACCTCAAACTCCTAGGCTCAAGCAATCCTACTGCCTTAGCCTCCCAAGTAGCTGGGACTACAGGCATGCACCACCATACCTGGCTAATTTTTTCTATATGTATTTTTAACTTGCCAATTGATTTCTTTCAATTTTTAGTAGAGACGGGGTCTTGTTCTTCCTCAGACTGGTTTCGAACTCCTGACCTTGAGCAATCCGCCCGCTTCAGCCTCCTGGAGTGCTAGGATTACAGGCGTGAGCCACCGTGCCTGGCCAATAATCCCCTTTTATACTTGCTTGTTTTTACTCTTTTATTTTATAAATTTGTCTGTTAGCACATGATCTTCATTCTTTTCCATTGCTCTATATTATTGTGTGAATGCATCATAATTTATGTAACCAGTCTCTTATTGATGGACATCTCAATTTTTCCCAGTCCTTTGCTAATATAATGATTAATACTATAAAAATAATTTTATATATGCTTTTAAAAATTGAATTAATCAGGGTGCCATCTTTATAGTTCCCATTGGTTTCTTTAAATGTCTTCTCTTTCCTTTCTCATTGCGATTACTTACAATTATTTAACCCAGATTTTGCATGTTCATTTTTTTCTTCTCCCTAAGATATATTCTTCCTTTTGGATGTTTCACCCATCAGATAAATATGGGTGTGGATATCTGTAGCTATCCTGTGCTTTCCTGAAGTACTGATTCTGGACAGTATGTCTGTAGCTACTAATAGGAACTCTGAGATGATTACTTTCTTCCAGGATTCTGATCCCTTTTTTTGGTCTCAGTTAAATCTAGATTGGCCTTTCTTGTTGCTTCCTTAACCATCACTACTACTTCTGAGAAAATATATGCATCCAACAGTTATTAAATATTGTATAGAAATTGTATTATAAATAACCATATTTAGATTATGATTACCATTCTCAAAGTAAATTTTACATTAAAAAGGAGCAATGGATAGTGTACCACAGTGTTAAGACCGGTTGTATTTAGCGACAAGACCATAGGTGATTTATTTTGTTTTTCTGTTTCCTAGATTTTAAAACACTAGCATGTATAACTTTCAACAGTAAAACAAAATTTTAAAAATTATCACATATTCTGCTTTTAGAAGAATTAGATTTTTGGCAAATGTTTGGATGATGGAAAATCTCCCAGCACAGTGTGTCTTGTCTTTGTGCTCATTTGGGAAATGATGTTAAGGAAACATTGTCCATATCCTTTGGCTGGCCCATGATCTGTTGCCTCTTTGCAGGATGATATAATGTCTGTTTTTCTTTTGTTTTGTCCTTGTCCAAAAGCTCTTCACCACAATCTAACAAACCAAAAGCCATCACGTGTTATGATGCATGCGCCCACACGCCCACACGCACCCACGCTTGCATGCATCCCTCCCACGCTCACACACTTTCTCTCACACACAAACACACACAGCTACTCATTGGAAGTCCTCCATTGTGCCTGGAGGCAGGCAGCACTAAGGCCAACTACTAGTACGAGTCATCAAATCTGTACACATTTTGTCAGGTTAATTCTAGCAACAATAGAAAGACTTGTTTGTTTGCAGAGGAGAATATTTCCAGCCATTAGATTTAAACTAAAGATGTGTTTACAAAGATACATTTGTGAATCATAACTGTGTTGTTATGCAGAAAGAAGCCCTTAAGTAGGGGCACCGTAATGCTGTAGGAGAATTCAATTATGTCTATAGGACACTGGTTGCCAACACCAGTGACTTCATGGAATGGTCATCTGTAAGTTATAAAATTCATAGTCATGAGAACTTCTCGTTTGTGAGACCCTTGCATGAGGACATATAAGCACTCCTTTGTATTAATAAAGATGAAGGTTGGTTTCTATGCAAAAGAGCCTTTGCATTTAAAAAGACAAAGTCTAGTTTGTATGGTTATTTTCCTGGTAAATTTGCCATATTAAACATACAGTTTTTATCTGGATTCAGACATAAGAATTTTATGTTATTACTTCCGGGGATGCTATATATCATATCCTGCTAGCCTTGCTGTCTACTAGGGACCTTTGTGAGTACGACGGAAATAGAGTGGCTAGATCAGTTTTGAAAAGTAAGAGATTTTCATATCCAAGGCAAAGGCCTTAGAGTTTGATGATTAAGAACCTGGGCTTTGGAGTCAGATAGACCTTTTCTCAAATCCCAGATCTTCAGCATATTATAGTAGTGTGACTGTGAGTAATCCACTTAACCTTTCCAAAAATCCATTTCCTTCCCTGTCTAACTTTGAGAGTTAAACATAATTTATGTAAAGCATTTAGTAGCTCCTATCATACTCAATAAATGGGAACTACACAATATTTTTTTTATTACTATCAGTATCAATGGTACCATTAAGTGCTAACTGGATATACTTTCTCATTCTCAGTGCTCTCAACTCTGGACAACACTTCTTCTGCACAGCCTTGGGGAGCTGCCTCAGGCCATGCCTCCCTGATGATTTGTCTTCTTTTACTTCATCAACTCTGTTTTGTCCAGGCAGGTGAATGACACAAAAAACAGAGTGGTCATTTAATAGGAATGCTATGAGGTTTAGCAAAGCTTTGAAGTTTTTGGCCAGGAGAATGTCTAGAAGCACATTAGTAATTTGATATTTTTTAAAAAGCAAAAAAAAAAAAAAAAAAAAAAAAAAAAAAAAAAAAAAAAAAAAAAAAGAAAAGAAAAGCTAAATACTAAAAAGTATTAATAGCTCAAAGTTATCATAGCTATTCTCAAAGAGTTTGGAAATGTTGTAGAAGTTATCTGTAATGCAGATACAGCACAGCACAAGTCTCTTTTGTCTTTGACAAGCAACCCCCCGGAACATAAAGGGTCTCTCTCTGCAGTTATAAAAGCAGTTCTCATGGGTTGGTTCCATTTCTCATCTGAAAGAAAAACTCCTGCACCTGGGCAAGACTTTCCTGGTGACACAAGCCAAAGGCAACGTTTGGATCTACCATTAAATTAGGGGAGGTCTGAAAACAGAGACCTCATTTGTTCTAGAAACAAACAGTGTTATTTAAACAGTGCCTGGCACACAGTAGGACCTCCAGTTGTATTTGCTGAGTGAATGGATGAATGAATGGATGGAGGAGGAGGTAACCTGGCGATGTCTCTCTTTTTATGTTCTGACTTCAGAGCCACCAGAAACTGTTCAGCCAGGTGCCACAGCCCAGACTGCCAGCTCACATTCCTTGCCACACATTAAGCAGCAGCTGTGGAATGAAGAGTGCTACCACGGCAAGCTGAGCAGGAAGGCGGCAGAGAGCCTCCTGGTGAAGGATGGGGACTTTTTGGTTCGAGAGAGTGCAACATCCCCTGGCCAATATGTGCTGAGTGGACTACAGGGAGGCCAGGCAAAACATCTTCTCCTGGTGGATCCTGAAGGCAAGGTATCATTGACTTCTCATTACAGGTTTCACAGGATGTTGTTCTATTAAGGATCCTTTGAATGGCATCAAAAACCTGGTGTTTAAGGCTAAGTATTTGCTTTTTCTTGGACCTCCCAGCTGGTGTAGGACATACTAAGTAGAGGCTAGCGAAGGGGTTAGAGTGTGAGGCCACCCTGGAGTATCAAGTAGAGGACAGCCTCTTTCTGCCCTTCTCAAGTCAATTCAATGAATTAAATGAAAACCTACTATATGGAAGTACAGGGATTCACAGTTGACTGTTGTTTAGTATCACATGCGTAGTCTTTACTCTCAGGGTGCTGATAGTTTCATAAAACAGGTGCTTAAATAATTATAATGTAAGGCTGAATGAGATAAGAATGATTCAACCAAAGCATGTGGAGTTTCTCCATAGGATAGAGAGGTCAGTCTGGTTGAGGCAAACTGAGAAAACTACTTGTAGATTCTGACAGGTAAGGTGAACCTTGATAGAAGGCAGAATTTCAAGAAGGGGACCTTAGGAGTATAGTGAAGGAACCACTGGAGCAGACGGTAATAGAATGGTATTAAGTCAATAGAAGATGTGTGGCTGGGACAGAGGATGCCTGTAGATAGAAAATGATCCTGGAAAGGTAGGTTAGAGCCATCATGTAAGGTGGGAATATAGACCAAAATGCCTAACTTGTCAGACAATGGAGAGGCATTGGCAGCTTTGGAGAAGCTTTGGAGAATGATGCAATAAAAGCCCGTTGGGTGGTTACATCAGTAAGGTGGCAAAATAGGAAGTCCCAGCCCTAATTCCCCCATAGAAACTCTGAACCAAAATATGTTTATGAGAATTATGGAATCCAGTTAAGAAGTTGCAGTACCTTAAGTGAGCATAAAGCTGAGAACAGCCATGTTGAAATGGGTAAGAAGAGCAATCTCACATGACCTGCACTAGCCCCTTCCCCTAGTCAGCATAGCTTGGTGGCAGGACAGATGCCCTATAGTATGACTTTTCCCTTGAATGTAGGGAGGAAACATGCATGAGGGAACATGAGGGAAAGCAGGGAGGATCATGCATCCTATGTTCTGGATTTTCAGTGAGATAACCTGAGGGGCTGGTTTGTATCTTGTCTCACATGGAGCACTGATGGAACCAGGATAGTTTGGATGTCTAGAAGCCTCTGAGAATGCAGAAGAGTACAGGGTAGCTTGCTGCAGCTGGCAATCCTCAGTGCAATCAGGAGAAGGTGTACAACTTGAAGCTTCTCCCTCAAGAAGGAGAGGAATCGTGTGCATCTAGCATTTTGGCTTTTTGGAGGGATGCCTGATGGATTGGTATGTGTCTTGCCTGACTTTGGGCACTCATGGGAAGCTGGCATACCTTGGATGCTCGGTGGCCACTGAGAGCAAGGGAGAGTGAGGTGGCTTGCTGCTATGAAACCAGAGAACTTTCAGTTACACAGACAGAGGGAGAAAGAGATTACAAGCTCCTAAAAAATTAGCAAACCTCTCTAACTGAAAAATTGAACACATAGGCCCAGAGAAGTCATATCCCTCACAAAAGGTTTTAGAGGTCCCCAGAATCTCTAGCTGGGCAGGTTGGTGAGGCTCTTCCCTTGTACAAAGCTTATAAGGAATGGGAGAGGTGGAAGTTTTTCAAATGTGTGCATTGCAATGCAAAATTATGATGCACACAAAGAGGCATGGAAACATAGTTCAAAGAAAGGAACAAAGTAAGTCCCCAGAAATTGATCCTAAAGAAACAGAGTTATATGAATTACCTGACAAAGAAATAAAAATAACCATCATAAAATGCTCCATGTGCTCAAGAACACAATCCATGAACAAAATTAGAAAACCAACAAAGAGAAAGAAAATATAAAAAAGAACCAGACTGAAATTTTGGAGCTTAAGAATACTGTAACTAAACAGAAAAATTCACTAGAGGGGTTGAACAGCAGATGTAATCAATCAGAAGACCAAAAATCAGCAAATTCAAAGACATTTGAAATTATCCAGACAAATGAACAAAAACAAAGAAATATTTAAAAAGAATGATGAAAGCACAAAGGATTTATCATACACCATCAGTCAGACCAATACATACATTATGGGAGTTCAAAGAGGAGAAGAGAGAGGAAAAAAAGTGGACAGAGAGCTTATTTAGAGAAATAATGCCCCCAAACTTCCCAAATCAGGGAAGAAAATGGACATCAGATTCAAGAAGCCAAATGGACTTCAACTATGAGGAACCCAAAGAAATTAACAACAAGACACATTATAATCAAATTGTTGAAAGTCAAAGAGAATTTTGAAAGCAGTAAGAGGAAGGAGACCTGTCATGTAAGACTATCAGCAGGTTTCTCATAACCCACATAAGACTGTCAGTGAATTTGATATATTCCAAATGCTAATGAAAAAAGATTGTCAACCAAGAATACTATATCTGGTGAAACTATTCTTTAGAAATGAAGGAGAACTATAGGACTTTCTGAGATAAACAAAAGCTGAGGAGTTCATTACCACTAGACCTGCCTTACAAGAAATGCTAAAGGGAGTCCTTCAAGTTAAAACAAAAGGACACTAAACAGTAACACAAAAGCATATGAAAGTATAAAGCTCACTAGTAAATATCTAGTCAAATACATAATACTGTAATGGTGTAGCAGTGGTGTATAAATAATTTTTAATTCTGGTTATAGAAGTTAAAAGATAAAAGTATAAAAACTATAGTCATGCATCACTTAATGATGAGAATGTCCTGAGAAATATATCATTAGATGATTTCATCCTTGTACAAACATTTTAGAGTGTACTTACATAAACCTAGATAGTATAGCCTACTACACATGTAGGCTATATGGTATAGCCTATTGCTCCTATGCTACAAACCTGTACAGCATGGCACTGTACTGAATACCGTAGGCAACTGTAAATATTTGTAGACCTAAACATAGAAAAGGTACAATAAAAATATGATATAAAAGATAAAAAATTGTACACCTTTATAGGGCATTTTCCATGAATGGAGCTTGCAGGACTGGAAATTGCTCTTAATGAGTCAGTGAGTGAGTGGTGAGTGAATGTGAAGACCTAGGACATTACAGCACACTATTGTAAACTTTATAACACTATAAATTTGAGCTACATTAAATTTATTTACAGAGTTTTTTTCTTCAATAATAAATTAGCCTTAACTTACTGTAACTTTTTAATTTTATAAACTTTTACATTTTTTTACTTTTTGACTATAGTGATAACACTTAGCTTAAAAACAAACATATTATACAATTGTACAAAAATATTTTTTCTTAATATCCTTAATTTATAAGCTTTTTTCTATTAAAAAGGCATTATTTTTAATTTTTAAGCTTTTTTTGTTAAAAATGGACACATGAACACACACATTATCCTAGGCCTACACAAGATCAGGATCATCAATGTCACTGTCTTTCACCTCCACATCTTATTCCAAGGTCTTCGAGGGCAATAATGTACATGAAGCTGTCATCTCCTGTGATAACAATGCCTTCTTCTGGAATACCTCTTTAAGGGTCTGTCTGAAGTTCTTCTTGAGGAGGTGTCACTTTTTTCACAGATATGTCTCTGCTGGTTTGCTAGGTTTGTTTCTTTTTTCATTATAGATTTACTTGTAAGCAGATAATCCATGATGAACATTCTTCTCTATTAATGAAAACCTTTCGGTGTTCTCCTGTAGTTTACTTTTTGGTTGCCTCCTCTTTAGCTATACCATCCTGTCCCAGTTCCAACGACTCCCATAGTTAATTCCTTAGAATTACATCACTAGGTGATAGGAATTTTTCAGCTCTATTATAATCTTATGCTACCATTGTTATATACGTGGTCTTTTGTTGACCGAATCATCATTGTACAGTGCATGACTATAACTATAAAAATATGTTAATGGATACACAATAGAGACAAATGTTAATGGAGACAAAAAAGATGTAATTTGTGACATCAATAACATGAAGTGTGAGGGAGGAGAAATAAACATGTAGAGTATTTGTATACAATTGAAGTTAAAAATCTATATTGTTCTCAAGTGTGCATGGAACATTCTCCAGGATAGATCACAAATTAGGTAATAATACAAATCTTAACAAATTTAAGAGATTGAAATCATACCAAATATCAATGGAATGAAGCTAGAAATTAATGGCAGAAGAGAAATTGGTATTTTCACACATATATGGAAATTAACACACTGTTGAACAACTAATGGGTCAGAGAAGAAATCAAAAGAGAAATTAGAAAATATTTTGAGACAAAAATGAAAATATAACATACCAAAATTCATGGGCTGTAGCAAAAGCAGTGCCAAGAGGGAGGTTTCTTGTGATAAATGCCTACATTAAAAATAAGAAAGACCTAAAATAAACAATCTAACTTTACACCACAAGGAATTGGAAAAAGAAGAAAAAACTTAGCCAAAATTTAGCAGAAAAAAGGAAATAAGATCAGTGCAAAACTAAGTGAAATAGAGAAAAGAAAACAATAGAAAAAAATCAATGACACTAGGAATTGTTTTTCTTTTTTTTTGAAAAGATCAACAAAATTAAGAAACCTTTAGCTATAAGGTAACTAACAAAAGTAAAAGAGAAGACTCAAATACAATTAGAAATGAAAGGGAAGATATCACAACAGATGTTGCAAAATTAAAAGGATTGTAAAAAATTACTATGAACAATTCTATGCCAATAAATTGGATAACCTAGAAGAAATGGATAAATTTCTAAATACATATAACCTACCAAGATTGAATCATGAATAAATAGAAAATATGAACAGACTATAACTAGGAGATTGAATCAGTAATCAAAACCCTATGAACATAGAAAAGCCTAAAAGCAAATGGTTTCACCGGTGAATTCTACCATAGAGTTAAAAAAGAATTAGCACTAATCTTTCTCAAACTTTTTCAAAAAATTGAAGAGGAAGGAACACTTCCAAACTCATTTTATGAGGCCATCATTATCCTGATATTAAAGCCA